AAATTTGCTCAGCTAATACAATAGCCTTGTACTTTTGGACAGAAACGCCTGTGGTTAACCTCTGTGGGCTGCATTCTGCAGTRAAATGAAGGGTGGTAGGAATTAAACAATGGGTGTGACTACCACAAGATGGGTGTTAGTGGGAAAAGTGGTGTAACATCCACTTAGCATTCCAGAGATGTGAAATATAATTATGATTTAAATGCCAAAGATGTAAGTTGCAAGATGAGTAACTACAAGGACATGAAAGCCTCCCTTATCTTCCTTTCTAGCCCACTCAGAATCATTTTGCACACCCACAAAACTAATACAAGTAGTGTCACTTGATGAAATTACACCTGATACATGACTTGTACCATCACTTACATTTCTGTCAGTGTGGGCTCTGTTTATACCAAAGGAAAAATTCCAATCTTACAACGCTTGAAGGTGGAAGTAATTTTGCCCTCAGTGGAATTACTCCCTATGTATACTCCCACTCAGATCAGAATCTGAGCCAGGCTTTGAATTTGTTTTATTTGCTCTCAGCCTTTCCTGTCACAGACAGAGGTTCTCGATCTGTAACAGGCTCCTTCTCCCTTCATTGATGTATCTTTGCAGAAATGGCTTCTGAGCAGATGTGTAGAGTTTGGAATTGTTGACTGAATGAGCCCTGGGAGCAGCTGAGTATACGTGAATAGCTGCTAAATGTCTTTTATATCAAGGTGGGAAGGAGAGCAGGAATTAAAAACTGCAGCCCATTCCTGCTGAGGGGCCACCCAGCTCTGTAGCAATTCCAGCACACAGAAGTTAAAGAACAAAAGAGTAAGGTGTAGGTGAAGGAGTGGAAGTAACTAGTGGGGAAAATAACTGTTGGTTCTAAACTTTTCAATGAAACCTTTATAAACAGATTCTTGGTATGTTTAAAATGCAAGTGCAGCAGGTGTAGCCAGCTGTGAACAAAGGGCATGTGCTGTCCCCAGTTGTCACTTAGGAAATTGTCTGATGCATAGATCAGAATTGAAGCCTGTATTTTAAACATTTTTGCCCCTGGCATTATTCCTCTTACTTTCTTTATGGATTACATGTCCCTGACACTTGCTCCTCATTGCTTGCACAGCAAGGTACCTGTAACAGCTGCAGTGCCCCTAAAGCACCAGGCATTGTTTCTGTTCATTAAATCCATGTAAAAATGTTATCCAGAAGTGGATTTGTCTGAGGGATATTTGTGGTCTGTCATGARATGGTGTAACCACTTATATGAGAAGAATATACTCATATACATGAAACAAAAATAACATTTCATTAATTCTTCTGACAAATAGTCYTATCACACCTGGAGGCTGATTCAGTGGGCTGAGCAGATACACAGCTCTCTGAAAATCAAGACATTCAGGATTTTCCTAAACTCACAGTTAGTCTGCCTCTCCTGAGTGCTTAGATAAAAAGCTTTCATCACCTTTTCATCACTCCAAACTGCAGCTGAATTGTTACTGTGTGCTGTCATGGTATCACACACAAGCCCCTGGAGCCTGTACAAGTTTTCAGCAATGTTGTGGTGTTTTTATCATGTATTTCACTCACAGATTTGCAAAGATAGGCTCAGCAYTGGTACCACAGTGTCTCAGGAAGGGGGACAGTAGAGTTTCGGTGACTTGCCCAAGATGTGTTGCAAAACATCAGTGAAACAGAACCCAGGCACTCTTGTACCAGGCTTGATTCAGCAAAGCACTAAACCAAGTGCTCAACTTTGAGCAAGAGCTCAAGCTGTTTGAATGGAGACAGATTTAAGTATCCACATAAATATTTTGCTGGACTGAGTCTTCAGCTTTCAGCAGTTAATTATTGTTTACAGCTATTTCAGGGTTTTTCATATAGCTTAGGGTATCTTTGGATGGTGGAAATACTTTTAAGCTAATTTAATGGTGTGAAAAAATGTCCTGCTTGCTGACCTTTTGGCAACTGAAATGTTSATGCATATGCTGGGGGTTTGTTCTTGTCTTTTCAGATGACACCAGCAACTCGACAAAAAGTTCTTGGCCTTTACCGCAAGATTTTGCAAATAGCCAAAACCTGGCAGTCAGCATCAGGACAGCTGGAGGAAACCATCAAAGAGAAAGAGTACATTAGAAACGAAGCCAGAACATTATTCCGGAAAAACAAAAACGTGAGTGTCCTTCCAGTGTTCCATTTCCAAATGACTCCTCTTGCTTTGTGTACTCTCTGCTTGGATGCTAAGGAAGGAATATAAGGCTCGAGTTCCCAAAATTTCATTCACTTTAAATGGTGTTATTTGGGTTACAGTTGAAATGTTGTCCTTGAAAAAACTCAAACCATTTCAGCTCTTCRTTAACTCCTGTAGAATTCTAAAAGGTTCTTTTTTTCAGTACAAAAGTGCCAAGAAAAAATTAAATTCCAAAGATACTGCTTGTGTAATTGAGGCAGCTTTTGATCTTTACAAAGTTAGCTAAGTGTATCATTACCCTGCAATGGCAAACAGAGCTCAGCAGCTTCTTTTTTTCTTTTCAAAGCAGCAATTATTGGCACTTCTTTTAAAAGAAGCACTTTAACTTATTTCTTAAGGAAGAAATTTCAAACYCTGGTAATCAAAGGCCCTTCTTGTAATTCAAGATCACAACACTTATTTATATCCCATATTGGTCTGGGACTAAACTGAAGTAATGCAAAATCAAAAAAATGAATTGAAGTCATAATTCACAGCACATTTCTGACTTCAAAGGGAATTTCTGGGTAGGATGATAACAGAATGTACACCAAGGAGTGTCTTTTCTTTCTCCTCTGGTGACCTTGCAGAGTGACAAATGCCTGAGTGTGGTTTTTTCATAGATGTAGCAGTAGTTTACACGTGTATTGTTTTTTTACCTGTTTGGGTAAAAAACTCCTTGTTTAGTCTCAGTCCTGACAGTCTCTGAGCCTTCAAGCCTCTCGGCACCATCAAGCCCAGAACTRTTGAGTCAAAAAAATTACCAACCTCACCTTTTATGGATGTGAGAAATACAACCATTGTATCCTTGGGATTGCCAAAATAAGCTACGAAAAGCCACGTGATGTGCTTTCATTTACACYTGAGCTTCCAATTGCTAATTACTGTACTGAYAGAAARCTTGTGTCATCACAGGTAACAGATSCAAARCTGATTAAGCAGTGCATAGAAGAATGTGAGGCAAGAATAGAAATTGGACTTCACTACAACATCCCTTACCCAAGACCTGTGAGTATAAATCACAAAGTSTTCACTGATGCCCACTGAGCTTTCCCTGTACAACAAACCATCAGTTTCTATCATTTTCAGATTTTCAAAATCCCAAAGGATCTGCTCTCTCAGACAAACTGGATGATTATTATTTTTCAGGTTCTAGAAATCTCTACTTTAGGTAGTGCTTTTACTACTATTTGCACCTAAACACCCATCTYACAGGATGACAGCCTCAGCCACAGTAACACCTGACTGCTCCCACCTACATTTTGCAGTCATTTGGGAGGGTTACAGCTGCATGATTCCCAGTCATTCTTAGGAAATATAAAGGGTTTGTCAATCAAAGGAAGAGTCTGTCACCTATTGCTCCTTCTGCTTATGGAGTCWATGACATTGATTGTGCATTTCAATGTGCCATGTATATAATCATGACACTAAGGAGGCAGGCTTTCAATTCATACAGTTTGGGGTTATTTTGTGACTTTTAAGTAGGTATGAATAAATCACAGTGATTCAAGACATCCACTCAAGAATTTTTAGGGTTTCTAGTTCTTACTGTTCTGGAACATTGTCAGCAATCCTATTTCAAGTAGTGCAGTCTGATAYCAAACTGCAGAACAAAGTTACTATGGCCTAGCATATATTGGATTTTACTAAGGCCTAAACTATGTAGAACTTTAATAAACACAACAATTGGGGTCTGAAAGTTACACCACTGATCACTCCTCACAGTGCTCCTCCTAGCAATCTAAGAACCTAGAGTTGTCTTCTCCAAGAGGAGTTATTTAAAAGAAATTATTTAAAACTCAGTGACACTTAGTCTGTATAAATGCTGCCTTTTTCTTCCCAAATTGCACCTAACTGGTGGGATTTTCTTTTCCAGATCCATCTGCCTCCTATGGGCCTTGCCCATAAACAGGGCCGTACATTGCGACAGCAGGAAAAGTTAAGGAAGATTTCTAAGCCAATATATTTGAAATCCCATGATGAAGTTTCATAACCCACCATTTAAGCTGTGATGTGTAATCACACCCTTGAAGCTGTGAACTGCAACCCAGGTGATTTGTGTGCACAACTGTGAATGGTGTGGTCACTTGTTCACACATTTCCTGAGGCCAAAAACCCAACTGATCCATTGTGTATGACAGATACAGTTGGGGCAGTATTTATTACATTTCAACCACTGCCTTGGCAATAAAAGCACCACTTTTTAAGGAGTGAGGTGTGATACAGAGATGACTTTGCCATCAGGACAAACAGGGGTGATACAGAGATGACTTTGCCATCAGGACAAACTCAGCAGCCGGATTTCAGAGTGTTCATCTGTAGGGTTCTGTGGTGTTTTGGGATGCTGTGTGCTCAGCTGTGACTGCAGACAGCCTCGTGKAAGGTCAGCCACAATCAGGGGAGAGTCAAGCAGAGTTCCTGAGCCCTTCTGGGTGCCAGTGACAATCCAGTCACTGCATCATGTGGCTGCTCCCCTTCCTCTCTGCTCCTGCTCAGCCTGCCATCCCTGCAGGAGACTTCCAGTGCCCTTCTGGTGCAGTTTTGGTTCTCACCTGACAGTAGCAAAGGGACAGCAGAGGTGCCACTACTCCTTTTTCCTTTTGCAAACTGCAGAGGTGTGGCCTACAGCCTCTATGTCAGCTTTTTCCCCCTTCCTTTGGACAGGGTGTGGAGTGAAATGCAAAGTTTGGAATGCCATTTCACAACTGTGAGTAAAACATTCCAGTGTTGGGATCCTCAGGTTCCCATGTATGGACTGGCTGAAACTCTCCCTTCAGGGTATCACTATGGGAACAAGCTTAGGATGCTTTGGTGTCCTCACTGTGATTTTTCACATGGTCAGCTTTTCAGCATGATCAGCACTCTGGCTTTCTCAACAATTATTTTCATTTTAGTGCTAAGTTTGAACTCTTATCTTGTGGACAGAACCCCAACTTTAGTAAAAGAAAGTACGTACAAGTCTCCTGAGTTTGAGAAGTATTTTTATTTCACAGGTGCCTAAGAATGGAAGTAAAATGGAATTAATTTTCCTTTCTTGGCTCCCAGTTGTTTTGGCTCCTTTGCAGCTCTCTGACTTTAGCAGGCTGTTGACATTTTCTCCTCAGGGAAGGAGAAATCCTTCAGGCTGGAAGTAGCAGTGAGAGCCCAGCTTGGACAAGAGTGACACTAGGCACAGTCCACAGCACTGTAAGGACAACCTATTCCAGCCTGACATTAATAGTGGCAAAAAAAAGCAAATTTGAAACAAGCACATCTGTATGAATTCCTTTTAATGTGGGAAAAACCAATGAAATCTGAGCTCACCAAATCATTCCAAACTCTCCAAACTCTAATAAACAATGACAAAGAAATATTCTTGTCTCCCTGAAAAGAGAGTTAGAACTTACTTAAAAGTAAGTGCAGAACAGACTGACAGTCCCTCCCCCAAGAATGCATTTGTAAGGCTGAAAAAGAACAAGTGGATGAGAAAGTACAAGAAAACAATGAGAGTGAATCAGCATGACAGGTACTGGCTGGCCCAATTTCTCACTACCCTTTATGGCTCCAGTCCACAAAGGTCTCTCTTCCCATATAATTATTTCCTGGGAATGCCTCATGTGGGAATKAACAGGTAAAATGCCATTGTTCTGTCAGTGGAAGGCCTAAACTATGTAGAACTTTGCAAATTTGCTGCTCCTTGGAAAACACAAAACTGTTTAGCCTAGGAAAAGGGGGGTTGCATAAAAAGAAAAGTTACCATGATTGCACGCACTGCTTAATTCTTCACTGAAAGAAGTGTAAATACAATTCCTATCCCAATTCTGACACACCAGTGTTGGGATGCATCAACTGAGCCCAACCAAAATGTGCAGAGGCAAGGGGTTTAAATGGAAGCTTAAACTYATTCTTTGTCATTAAACTCTCATTTGAATCTCTGGAATTGCTGCAGTTCATGTGAGTAATGGAGGCACTGCTGCTCTGACACATCAGGTGAACAAACAGCCATGGAAATGAGCAGTCTRAATTTACTGTCTGTGGTACAGTCACAACTCTTCCCTAAGCACATACTGTAAGAAGTAAATTATTTCAAAAGAACAGCCCTAAAATTACAGAAGATTTACACAAATTGAATAACAATAGGAGTTTTAGTTTACTTCYGAAGAAAAATGAAAAAGAAGCTGTTTTAAAAATGTTCACGTAACTCAAATGAGCATGTACTTGCTTAACTGAGAAACCAGCAACTAACAGCAAATAATTACATTATTTGAGATGCCTTAAAATGATAGACAACCTAATAATTCTTCAAAGTGTTTGAAAAACTATTCACTGGCGCTTCATCCTCATTACTTTCCATCACCAAAGACTGAAATTTGTTAAAAACTTCAGGCTGAGGTTCAGTTAAAGGAAGGATCAGTTCTTTTTTCAAGTCTGGAGAGCAAAACCTTTCTTTCAGAGCTTAAGTTGAAGTTGATCTGGAAAGGAGAATCTGCTTTAACTAGAGTCCTTTGGTTTTGGAGGTCAGACTGGCAAACGAGCATTTTGAGGGAGTTTCATAAAAAATTCATCTGCACTCAGTGCAGTGGGCAGGCAGAATCTCAACTGGTACTCCTGTATGAGATGCCAAGGCACATAGAACTTATGTCAAGAAATATCCCACTGATTGCACAAGATGTCATCCCTACCCATTCATTTCACTTGCAAAAACAGTTGTCCTAAAATGCCTCTGCATTCTGCAGAATTTGTAATGCACAGGATTCAGGCAGTCAGTGCACACTCTGTCCTGTACCCACTGAACCTTCCCTAACTCCCCTTCCAGTAAATACTGTCATCTTCCTATTTATCACCCTAGAAAGGAGATGCTTTAGAATAACTTGGAAGAAAATGATGACATTCTSTTCATTTTAATTATATAAAAAGTACAAAGATCTCTCTTATGAAGTCTAAGAAAATAATTTTTTCAAGAACCAATTTTAATTAATTTATTTACAGATGTAGAGAAACGTGATTCCCTTCTTAAAAATTGTTTGGGTGAGTGTGCTGTCACATCCATAAACAAGTTTTATTTTGGTATAGGTGCCAAATATCATTTAGTYTAATTTGTTAAGAGTAGTTTCTTCCTCTAATTTGCAACAGCTGCACATCTCAGTCCCTTTTATTAAAGCAAAGATCCAGGAGGTGTCCTGGCCCTCCTGACTGTACCATGATGCACTGAACACTGGTGATAACTGTGGCACTGAAGTGTTCCTTCCTGCACAGCAGCACTGCCAGCACACCCCACACTCCTGCCTCACCTGCACCATTCTTTATTTTATCAGGATCTGGATAAAAAACACTGGTTAATAGAACAACAAAGAATGCTGCTTTCACCTAAGCACAGCACAAGAATTGTGTCCTGTAAGGAGCTGCAGCAGCATCCCCTCAGTGCTTGTGGCAGCATTCTGGGAATTGCCAAAYGATGGCTGAATCTCTGACTTTGTGAGGCCTCCAGCAAGTCATTAAAATGCTGCAATTTGGGCAATGAAACAAGAACACAAGACCCCCAATTAGTGGATGACTACGTAGTGCGTGTTTTTTTAAATGTTTGCCTTGATCTTTGTGCCTCTCTTGTGCTGTGTACACAACAAATCTAATGATGCATCTTGAGTGCCTCCTTGGCAKGCTCTGGGGATTAGTTAATGACTGCACAGCTCTTTGAAGATGTTCAGGCTATTTTATTTTTAATTAATGTTTGCAAGCTACTTTGGGCTTCKCTGATGAAAGGCCTTAAACAAGTACAAAATTTCAGGCAGTTATGAGTTCAACAGGCAAGAGAGCAAGAAGAGGAAGTGTGTTGGGTTTACTTGGGGTAGAGGCCATTCTCCTCACAGTGGCTGGTAAGGGATTTTTGATTCTGTTTTGGGTTGTGTTAAATAAAGAGATGTTAATAATAAATAAAGAGATGTTAATAATAAATAAAGAGATGTTTTTGTTATTGCTGAGCAGGGATTGCACAGAGCCAAGGCCTTCTCTGATTTTTGTACTGCCAGGCTGGGGGAAGCTGGGGAGACACAGCCAGGACAGGGGACCCCAGCAGAGCAAAGGGACATTGCAGCCCCTGGGACATGATCAGTGTGAAAAGGGGGGAAAGGAGGAGGAAGAGGGGGACATTGGAGTGATGGTGTTTGTGTTCCCAAATCACCATGATGTGTGATGGGCCCCTGGGAATGGCTGAACACCTGCCTGCCCATGGCAAACAGGGAATTAATTGCTTTGTTTTGTTTGTGTGCGTGGCTTTTGCTTTCCCTGTTAAACTGTCTTTATCTCAGCCAGGAGCTACTGGAGAGTGAGTGAGTGAGTGAGTGAGTGAGTGAGTGAGTGAGTGAGTGAGTGAGTGAGTGTGTGAGTGTGTGAGTGTCTGTGTGGGGCTGTAAATGGAGGAAGAAAACAGCTCCATGTACCAGGTACCTGAAGATGTAGCTAATAATACTGAAAAACAAAAAGTGACAAAATGACAGCACAAACATACTGTTCTGAGAACAGGCAGGCTCCCAACACATGTGCTAGAATTTCCATGGAAATTCTGACACACATCATCAAGGAATGGCTATGGTTTTATGATAGAGCTCTGGTAGTTCATTCTACCTGAGGACTGAAGGGTTGGTTTCAAATGTTGACAACAGAATATTCTCATCTCCTCCCTCCTCATCCTGCACACTCCTGGGACACTGAAGTGGTAAACAAATCCACCATCTTATTTGCAAGATTTGTGAAGTAGATTCCCATTCAAATCAGCATCAAACCTCTTTAGGCCCCATTTCATAAAAAGAACAACATGCAGCCATGGAGGGGTAAAGCAGATCTTTAGAGTTTCAGCCCTGCCCTGTCAGTCGTCCAGCTGGCACAGGGCTGCCACGCCTCGGTTGATCCAGTGCTTCTGGGGTTTGTCTGAAGGGAGCTCAATCGACAGCACGTAGTTGGTKGAGTGCCCAGTGGTGGATAAAACACCTCTTCTTTCACTTGTCTTGTACACAGGGCATGAATAGATGTTCAGATGAAGGAATTTGGAACTTTCTCCAGGTTTCAGCCATATTATGGGCAAAGGATCGTAAAGGATTTTTGGTAGTGATTCTCCAATTACTGAGGATTCTCTATCCCATCGTGCACCTTCCAAAAAAAGACCTTTCACATAAGCCCCATCTTCTGGCATTTTCTCCATTGTGTCCTCCTGTTTCATCACCTAGAATGATTAAACCATTGCTTGATTTTATTTTTATTAGAGTATACTAAATTCTGTGACAGTCTGAAATTGCTCCTTTAAATAAAATACCCTTTCATCTGAAAACTCTATTTCTTGCTGCCCCAGAATATGTTTGAAGTTGTTCAAGAAAAAACAAAGTTCTTCTGCATTTTTCTTACCTCAAATTCAAATCCAATGTGGTCGATKGGGATGGTGTATTTTCTGGCAAAGTTTTGTAAAACACCAGTCAGAAAAGACTGAGTGAAGAARAATCCTGAGAGCCAAAAGACTGTGGGTGACCCATTGTCAACCCAATCCTGAATATGGAGAGAAAAAACAAAAGTAAAAAACCCAACATATTTGTGGCTTCACTGTGCCAATTCCCCAGAAAAGGGATGTCTTTCCAGATACACTCAAACAGCACAATGAGATCTAAACCTTCCATCACTTCTGTTTTTCAGAGACAATGACAAAAGTCAGTTCTTTAGGATGACAACAAAAGTAATCACTCATTCTGAAACAACCAGAACTCAGTGCTACTGAGAARGTTTTCAGAAAGCAGCATAAGCATGTTTTGTAAAGTCTAGATAGTGGCCCCCAAAAACAAGAAAAGTGATTGAATTTGGACACTTTTATCAAAATACTCTCTTTTACTGGCTTCAGTCAATCTTCTACTTGAAAAAAGGCCCATTTTTTTTTACATTCTTCACTGATCACTGTCTCTTCATTGATCACTGTGAGGGCACTCACTACACATGAAATCCTTGCAWTGGAAATCATTCCTGTACAAAAATGCCAGACAAGGAGACCTTGGGCCTTGTCACACAGTGCAGCAGGAAAAAGCAAAACAAGGGCACAATGTGCTCACACTGTGGGAAGTTATCTGGATCAAAAGAAGTCCAAACAATGCTCTGATCAGCAAACAGGGAACTCTGSCACTCACACAAATCTCTCAGACACTTTTCTGGCTTTCTCCTCTCCTGATTTGTCTGGGGTTTCACTACATCTCAGTACCTCACTATTTAAGGTACACCCAAAGTTTTAAGTAGTTTCGAGAGTGCAAAGAGTGCAAGGGAAATAATGGRATGGTGAGTTAAAAATCAAAGCAGTGTCACATTTTGTTAAACCTGAAAGAATTCCAAACAACCTGGAAGAATTCCAAACGACAGAGGAGATCGGACACGTAACTTCCCAGAGGCTTCAGGGATGGGTAGGATTTGGCAGCCCACATGGATGGCACTTTTCCCATGAGCATGCTGTTGAAAACATCTTCAAGCTCAGAAGACATCAACACTTGGCCTTTAATGGCCTTGCCTATATTGATGAGGCTGCTCCGAACAACTTCAGTCARCCTTCAGAGAAAACAAAGGAATTGTCATTATTTACTTCTTATTACCTGGCTAAAAACCCCTCAGTACACCTTGAAGGAAGAGCTGGTAAAGGTGGTAAATGTCCTGTCAGAAATTCCTTATCTCACCTGTAGTTATTAAAACTCTTACTTAATTTAGAAAAGCAAACAAATTAAAAACACACAGAAATAAAGACAGTGAACACTTTCACTCTAGACAAGGGAAATCAAGGGACCAGAGCTTTAAATCTTGTAGCACTAATTGTCATAGTGTGCTGTGAATGCTGGGCCTGGGCATCAAAGACTAAAGTAGGCAGCTCTACCCCTAYAACAAACTCAAACCTGATCTAAGTTCACACTCCAGGAATACAGGTACTATTGCTTTATTCAGGTACTCAGCTACAGGTTTCAAGTCTTTCTAAGATATTCATCCAAAGCAGAATCTAACATGTTAAGAAAAACGCATTGTAAAAGGCTTGTTTAAGGCCTGTGAGCAGCTAGCACTAATGAACAGAGGCATATTTCAGTGTAAAAAGTACTACACAAAACCCTGAGCCATACCTGTTGAATCGAATGAGTTCTTGCCTAAGCACTGTATTCATGGACTCTTCATAAAGCACTGGATATGCCTTCATCACCTCTTCCATGTCAAAGCTGTTTGGTAGCTTGGACAGGATGTCCTGTGCCAACTCGTCAACAACTTCCTGAAGTCACAAGTTTGCAGTGAATAACAAAYATTCCTTTTCCCCCCTATTTTTATWGAATAAATTCCCAAAACACTGTAKATTTGATTTTAATTTTTTTATAACCACGTAGGTATTTTACTCCATTTTCCTAAAGATATAGTGCATGCTCTTACTCACTTAGGGCATCATTCTGTCTGTCTTTGCATGTGCCTGCTAGCTCCTTCCTTCTCAGTAATTTTAAATTTGTTAGTAATTCTGCATTCTCAATTCTGTTGAGATGCAGGTGGGGACAGTAACTATAATCTGTTTGAAAGCAAAGTGATGAAGGTATCCTCCACCTTTAAAGGTGCTGTGCCAAATCCATCTGCTTCTCTGCAGGGCCATTCACATCCCAGTGCCACAGTCATGAGATGAGAGGTGTTGGGTTTCTGTGAGATGTAGGATGTGACAGGAAAGGGCCCCTTTCCAGAGTGCAAGGTGATCTTGCTTCCCCAGTTACCTGAGGGGATTTGCCAGCTCCCCCTGCTTGTCTAGGCAAAGTCAGGAGCACTGCATCGAAAAGCTGGTTCGTCTCCTGGTTATCCTTGGTGATGTCTGCATTTTCATGAAGGCCAAACACTTCAGGGTGTGTTGTGATTGGCAAACTTCGTATGTATTCAAGGTAAGACTGGAAAACAATCAGATACCAGACCTCATGCAATGGGATATCCATAGGGGATCAGWAAACCCCCCTGGGACAGAACCTTCCCATTTACAAAGATGTGATTCCCTGTTAAACACACCCAGGAACTGACTCTCCCCAGAGATCAATATAAAAGTTCTGGTGATCAAAAACTCATGGAGGAGTTGTTATTGCCACCCTCATGCAAGTGGCAAGGGAAAGGAAARCACATGAGAAACATCAGGGAGTGCTGTGGGAGTCACAGAACGGGGTGGGATGTGATGTGTCATCCCTACAACTGTGGGGGACACAAATTGGGATTGGAGCACATCCACTGAGCACATTGAGCAGCTGCTGGAAGGAAAACACAGCATGGGAACTGAGGATACCCCTGCCATTCCTCCCCTTCCTCCTGATTGCTGCTCTCAGGGTCACAGTGGTTGCAGCAAAGTACACAAGTGCCATGTAAAGTCCTGACTCCATTGGCTTTCTAGAACTGCTCTGGAAACCTGCACAGGAATGGCTCTTTACATCCACAAATGCTGGGGTACTGGATGATCTCTACATCCCCACTGGGGCTGGTAGATACTCAGTACCAGATTCATATTTCATAATAAGAAACATTCTGGCATGGCTTTATGATCTTTGGGGGTTTGTTTTCCATTGGTTGTATTCAGCATTATCCAAGCACAGTGCAGGTAAGTTTTTTCCCAATAACTCAGAGAGAATTCACACTTGTTGCCTTCTCACCTCATATGGGCCATGTGGTGGAATGTAGTAGTCCCCTCCAGCTGCCAGCATGTACCTCTCCTGCTCGATGTCCTTGTTGTACACGATGGAGAGCAGGGACAGCAGCAGGCGCCTGTCTTTATCATCTGTCACTCTGCCTCCATAGTTACACTCCCCTGCAAAACAACAGACAAAACAACAGAAAGTCAATGAACAAAGAAAAACTGCTCTGCAATAACGTGGGACTCTAGTAAGCTGAAGCTCCAAAGCTCCAGATCCTCTGAAGTTTTTAAGTCTTATACTTCAATTGATTTAATGGAAATCAGACACTTGAATATCCATGGGCCAAATTAATGTGTCTGGATGATGGAAGGTTTAAGGAGCACTGTGAGTTGGTCTGAAAAACTGCTACTCATGTCCCATTTCCATAAAGCTAATAATAATATTAGCAAAAATCAAGAATTGACAAGGCTGACAAAGGAGGTGCCAAAAAGCAGYTTATCTCCCTGGAGAAAGAGGGCAGAACAGCCACAGCAACTGAGTTAATAACTGAGTTATTTACCCACATCAACACCTCCTGCTTCAAACCCCTGAGTATTATCACAAACTGTGCTGAAGGGCCACAGCCTCCTGTGCCAGGCTCACATTTATCAGGGAAGGTGAAACAGAGGCCATGGATGGTTTTATTTGACGTGTGAAACACAGAGCAGGAGGTTTGCTGGACCATAGAAATTGTAGCCATTTACAAGTGAAAACAGCAGTGACATCTGAGGGTTTGGGATCCACCTCCAGTGACAATCCCAGTCCAACACATCCAACCACAACCACATTGTGTGTGCAAGGCCAGTAAAGAAACCTGTGTGGAATCCAGAACTCACCATTTCATCCCTGTGCCAGCTGCAAATGGCAGCAAACCAACAAACACATGGGAGAGGATGTAAAGCTGTACCTGTCAGATAGGTCAGAGCTTCAAAGGGGATTTCTTCATATTCATTCAGAAACATCTGGATCTGCTGCATGCTGATCCTGAGGTCAGACTCGTTGAACTCGTAGGGAATATTCCAACCTGTTCAGTTCAGAAAAGACACCCAGGACAGTGGTGCACTGAATGACAGCTATAATTTCATGTAAATACTGTATAATGATTTATTTGAAAAAATGGTACTTTCTAGTCTTCTCCAGGGTAATGCTTTTAGCAGCTTCAAAAGTAGCTTTGGCTGAACAACAATCCCCACCAATAACAGCTTTTAAACTTTATGGTGTTGTGTGGAATGCAGATTGCACTCTTGTARTACTTTTACCAGATCTGCCTTTTTATAGAGAGATGCCAGCAATGCATTTCAAAACCACAAAACCTTTTTTTTTTTTAACAAAGAGCAAATTAATCTAAAACTTACCCAGTGGGCCAAAGTTTCTCCTTTCCTGCACAACAGCATGAAAAAAGCAAAGGCCAAAAAGCAGTTTTTGCCACATTTTTGGCTTTTGGCAGCTCCTGAAGAACACGGGGTCGGAGATGGGATCGTTCAGGTATGAACGAAGGAGGTTCACTCTCACACCCTTGGGAGGCTCATTGGTCATTTTGATGCCATTCTGCAGGATACTCACAGGAAATTTATCTGATGGGTAACTCGTTAACCACAACCTAAAAAGACATTTGAAAAGCACACTATTAAGAAATCATATGGCAATAGTAGTAATAATAATAACAACAATAAAATCAATAATATAACCTTGCATATTGATCTATAGAAAACTAAGTTTTACTACTTGCTTAACTATAAAGGTAACATTTAAATTTGTTCTAAAATGCAGGCATGAAGTAGATTATATTGGACAGGTAGAAAAGATGACATCTTAATAATGGATCTCTATWTTATCACTGCACATAAATTATATGAATGTCATACTCGGGCATTCATATAAAAGCAGTTTCATTTCTTTGTATGAGTGTCTTCAGCAAACAAGAAACACCCATTAAAAATGCAAAACACCAAAACTCCCACCTGAAATTGTCATTGGTATTCTCAGGCACTATCACYTCCTCACAGATTTTTTCCAAGGCAGGCATCCAGCTGGTTGCAAGGTGGCAGTTTTGCAGCACCACCCAGGTTCCATCAGTAATTGCCTGGTAAATCATTTTTTCTGCTATTGGGCCCTGGCCCTGGCCAAGCGAAACCGTTTGAATGCTTGTGCTTCCCATGTTCACATCATCAGCAAATTTCAGCAGACCTGGGATGGCAAATTTAATACAGGCAGAGACAAAGTGTATTAGAAATAGAATGTCATTTTATATTACACATTTATATTTGTCATTTTTATAATGTAATTGAAGGGAGAAAAGCCAACAAATATTTTACCCAATTAAAAAAAAAAAAACCAACCAAAACCACCTCAACAACCCAGAAGTATCACGTGCTGTGTCACCACTGTGACTCTGAGGTACATAACAAAATTCAGGGATATAAAGAATTAATAGAAAAAACCCCAACCCAAAACCTGTCCTGGTTAAATGGCTGTCCTCTCCTTTGGCCCAAGTGTTCCATTCCAGGCTGACTCTCTGCTCAATGGGTACCATTGTTTATGGGGTTGAGCTGCAAATTGGGTATTTAGATCTGGCTAAAAATAGACCTCCAGTTTTGCYATCAAAATCAGTACTTTCTGGAAATACATCCTTATGGTATGGCTCCRTGTCACAATTCTTTTGGCAGAAAACCAGATTTAAAAATAATCTGGGTGGTGATACTTCAAAGGACATTTTACAAATRTGTTTTTAAGTGTGGCCTATACACCATTCAATTAGTAATTGAGGGAGGAAACTTTCTGGAGGAGGGGTTGCAATAAAGACTGGGACAAACCTCTGACACCCACTGAAAGAATTGTAATGCAAGTATAAATTATAAACTGGTCTGGATGCTACAATCTGTTCAATGCCCAAATTGCTCCTCAGAGACCGAGACACTTCATCACCATTACTTTCATTCCACCCTCCAACAATTTTACTGTCATTGTTTATATATGGCCAGATGCCAATGTTTGATATTCCATCTGTATTCTGCTGTATTGTACTTTCAAGACACTTTAAAGATCAGATGAGGGGGCCCACACTATTAACAGTTTARTCAGACTCAGTGACATTTAAGCAGCTAAAAAAAGATCTTTTTAACAGCAATCTCACCTGCCATAGGATCAGCACCCGGTGACAATATAAAAATCAAAGGGGCACAGCAGTTTGAGTCACTGTAACTTCTCCCAAGATCAAACGTGGGTGGTTCAATGAAGGTTCTCCCCATGTTGTCCACAATGAAGATCTGCACGGCGGGGATGATTTTGTCGGGGCGCAGACACCGCAGGATCACCATGCGATCCAAGCCCGTCAGGGCGCCCCAGGAATCGGGGAACTCCTCCTCGTGGGGTCTCACCGAGTCATAGATGGGCTTCCACTTGCASGAATTGTCTCTCACGTGTTCCATCAGCCCCTGCAGGTTTGTCAGGCTCGATGCCCKCACGATTTCAGCCCATGATTTGTTAGAGAGCCAGTCTGGAGCAGGATTGGGGTGAGGATTGTCCAAAGCCACCCCTCCTGTCAGCAGGAAACGCCAAACGGCGTCGTCAATCTGCCCTTTGCCCTTCATGATGCCCACGGTCAGGAGGAAGGAGAAGAGCAGCTTGTCCTTCTCAAACAATGAACGACACACATTGTTGTAGATGCTCACTGTGAAATGCTCTGTTATGTTGGTAATTCTCTGCTCCAGACGTCCACTCTTTTTGCTTTTAGCAATAGATTGAACGTACARGTTAATGAACCAAATCAAGGAATACTGGTACATGGGTTCAATGTTTGCCAGATCAGAGATGCAGAAGAACACAACAGAGGAATGAACAGCAACTGGCTTATATCCCATTCGAGTGGAATCTATTTCCTGCTCAGTTACAGAGGCAATTTTTTGCTTTTCAGAAATTTCTGCAGATAATTCTTTGGATGAAGACAAAATATTAATTGCTGTTTCATCCTCTAAGATGTTTCCTTCTGAATGGGAAAGGACCTCCAGGATTTTATCTTCTATTTCCTTTAGTTGTTTCTTATTGGCTGCACTTTCTACAATGAGTTGGTTTTTCTTTTCTTCYAGCTCAGGCTTTTCCTTGGCAGCTACAATTCCAAGAAGCTGGTCCTGGAGACCCAAAGGTGTAATCATGAAATTGAGKAGACAAACTTTCACAGCCACTTCAGGGTAATAATGAGGATTTCTTAAGTGGGTTGTCATGTAAAACCTGAAGTCTCTTGAATAYTCAAGTATATTTTCCCCTAATTTCATGTATTCCACTCCTTGTTGTTTRAATGTTTGCTTTAATAAAATGGGTTCTAAGAAAGCATCTAACTCTTCACCAATATTTTCTAGCAAGACTGGAGTTCCAAGCTGAAGAGCACTTTCTAATGTCCTCACATAATGTGTGTCAGATAATTTGATAACTGACAGCCTGTTRGATTTCTCCATATTTTTTATCCACTTGTTAGCTTGCCTTTGAGGATCGATCATTAAAGCCCATCTTCTTGAGTTAGAAACAATTATACCATTGTCAATGGAGAAAGAATCAACTGGCAAGCCAGCAATCTGCCACGCTCGGATTTTGACTGGGTCCCCTAAGGTGTTACTGAGGCTGAAATCACTGGAGCAGGGAATGTTCTTTTCCTTGCACAGGCTGTGCCACTGCTGTTGACACTGCAGGCGATAATCCACAGTAAAGGCTCCCAAATAAGCCACAGTTCCTGATGACAACAACACATCCCCCACCAGGTCAATGTACTGGAATCCCAGCACCCGTGCAGCCTCAGTCCACCTCTCCTTCTCTCCACCCAGCCCRCTGATCAGCTGCTCAGCTCTCACCAGCTTTTGCGAGCAGCGCTCAATGTTATTTTCTAAATCTCTCTTCCTCTCATTCATTTGGTCAAACTCATCTTTCARAGCCTGAAGGCGATCCATCACCTCTTTGAGTGCTGCTTGTTTGACTCTCAGCTTCTGCATTTGCACATCCAGGATTCCCTCAGCCTCCTGCAGGCGCTCGCGTTTCGGGGCCACCACTTTGGTGACGCGGTCGTACACCTCCATGGCCCTCACCCACTTGCACAGCCCTTCACAGGCAGAGGAGACGTTTTTCACCACCTCTGGCTGGAAATCTGGATGGTTCATAAACTTCTCTCTRATTCTCTTCATTATAGGAGGAGGAATTTTATCCTTGTCGTATGACTTCAATCTGTCAAGGAACTTAATATCTGAAAGGAGCTTTTTAGCTGGSCCCCAGAAGTCTTCCACCATTTTACCTATATTGCAAATAAGAATAAAATCAGGCTTAATACATGCATGTTCAAACTGAAAAAAATACTTCAAAACATAGTATGAAGAATTAACATCAATGACATTGCAACGGAATTAGTTATGCAAATAATTTGGGAAAATCATGACTTAAAGGAATTCAGATAGAACCTTCAGCATCACTAACCAGTGTCATCTTTATTAATTGCATATTAATTCTAAATCAACCAAGCACATTAAGGGAAACAAATTACTATAGCCTTCCTTAGCATCCTCTGTTAGATAAATCAGTAACACTGGAAGTATTCCTTCTGAATCTAGATAAGGTCATTTCAGATGAAAGGCATTTATATAATTCTTATTTTTAATTATAAAGGGTTGAACTGTATAGGCCAAAGATAGAAGTGAAAGAGGTCTCTTTCACACTTCACAAATCCTGTGCAATCCCACAATAACAACATTAAAGCACATAGAAAAAGCTTGTTAGAATAATTATCTGTGGCAGAGGTCTAACCAGAACTGCCTCTCCCAGCAGAGTGGGCAGTTTGGAAGCAGGGACTGGAGGGGGAAATAAAGGCAAAGGTGCAGAGCACAGCTCCAGCTCCCAGAGCTCCTCAGGGCCATGCTGAGCTCAAGGCTGGCTCAAAGCAAGTAGAGGAGATGACTTTGAGCTGGGTCAYATTTACAGGAGCAGGGGCACTGTGTCAGCATGGCAGGAGCAGCTCTGAAGTGCTCAGTTCTGCTCACTGCAGCACCAGGCTCTCACAGCCCCCAGCACACCTCAGCACAGCACCCACAGTCCCAGGACAGGAGGACAAGAGCTGTGTCATTACCACTGCCACTGGGGTCAGGCTTCCTCTCAGGTTTGATKGACCTCATGATGCAGATGCTCTCCATCACCAGCTTGACAGGCCCAGGAGGATTCTGCATGGATTTCACCAGGGTGATGTCAGAGGGATTCAGGGTGTCAAGAGCTGCCTCTGCTGCAGCCAGAGCTGGCAGAGCCTCGGCCAGGTCAGCTTCACATTCATCCTGTGGAGACATTGGGCAGGGGAAACCTTCCTGCAGCAGCAGCTCTGCAGCTCATCACCCTCCAGAACCTTCTCTCCTGTTAACAACCCATCAAACACACCCTTCACTGCATGGTGTTTCTTGGACAGACAACTACTTGGACAATTTGACTGCACGGTTTAAAGAGAGCAGGTTTGTAGAGAAATTAGTAACTCCATGAATGGAACTGACAGTTAAAAAAGTCAGACAAGTTTTCAAGATCAAAGTCTCTCTGGTCTGGCAATGAGAATTAAAATAAAGGTTAGATACAGCACTGATCAGGTGCAAAATGGATACTGTGTAGCTTGAATTCTTTGTCATATACTGTGATCTCAAAAATTATCCYTATTATGTATCACTGACATTTCCAACCTGTTACCAAAAAAAATATTGAGGAATCCTGAGGCTTCCTACAGGAAGTTGTACGTCACAGATGTCTGGCTGTGGCATCACCTCTAAAGTTATGCCTAACAGGACTACAAGCAGCACATGCCAAATCACCTCAGCTAACTCTAAAATAACTGTCTTTGGGCCTGAAAACCAGCATAAACTCATTATTCAATCTGCTGGAAATGAGAATATATTAGKAGAGAAATAAGAGCTATACAGCTTTTGGAACATGGACTAGAAAGGGAAGCTGTGGGACTGTGAGACTCAGTCAGACTCCAAATAGCCCAAATTCACCGTGTTTAGATGAGGAACATTCATCATCTGAATTGTGTTATTTGAGAGCTTGGCTCACCCCATTCACACACCATCACCCCATCACAGCTCCCATTTCCTTGGCACCAGCAGCTCCAGGCTCAGCCCCTGTGCCCACCTTAATCCCCTGGGCCACAGCAGCTGCATCATTGGCCTCCTTTTCATCTGCTGCCACCACTTTCTTTATTGCATCGACTTCCACTGTTTCCTTTTCAATCTTGACCATCATTTTTTCTGTYTCTGCAGAAGTTTTAATCAGTTCAGGCTGAAGGTCTGTCAGTTCTTTCTGCATCAATGCAACCTGATAAATACAACAGGAAATCAAGAAAAAATCTGTGTAAACATTGCATGCATTTCATATCTTGATCTCTTAATTAATACTATATTAATACAATCTTAAAAAGGACATTTGATCTAAAGAATKAATAGTTCTCTAGTTTATTTTTACTGAGAGCTGTTTTATTTAACTGAAAGGTATATTCATCATCTATGCAATGCACTTGCTTTTTTAAGATTCATTAATGTCAGTAATGAGAACCATATTGACTAATTCTACTTTTCAGTCACTTTCAGCTAATGAAAACCCAAATAATCCTTTATTGCACAGGTGGAAAACAAAATCCAAAAGAAACCTGTGAAGATGCAAATTCAAGCTTTTCAAGYCCCGTAAGATAACGAGTTCTCATGGTGTCCACTTCTTCCCTTTTCCTGTTCAGCAGAGTCTTGAAGGTGAGGATCAGCTCCACGTAGGAAGTTGGTGTCACGTAGTTGTGTCTGCGCAGGGTGTCGTAGTAGCTGACAGACAGATCTCTCACACTTTCTTGGAAATATTTGCACAGTGACACAACCCTAGAGAAAAATGTTCCACATCACTTCAAAAATACAATCTGTCTTTATGCCAACTATGAGAAAATTGCTCTAAGCTCATGAAGTCACACTAGGGTTAGGGAAGGCAGAAATGTATTTTCCCCTTATCAGAAATACTTTGTTCTCCTCTCAAGGACTGGCCTGATTTCAGGAACAGATATATCTGGGTAACTTTGACTGGCACTGAAATCCCAGTGTTGGCTTAGCTTTGTCCATCTATAAGGACAATCTCYTGATCAAACACACTGGGGGCATGARGGACAGGGGAACAAACATTWGTTTCTTAACAAACTCATACTCTTTTCTAACGTCATCCTTGAGCTCAATATCTTCTAAAAACTTGTTAGCAACCATYTCCAAAGCATCTGTAGGCCAGGTTTGGAACCAATCAATGGTGCAGCAATTTATCAGGGAAGGGAACATCCGTAATCGATTCCGAAATGCATCTCCAATAGGACTCATGGCTACAAAAATAAAAAAATAATTGTTACCTAAGTTTCCTTGCAGTTAGGAAGTAGAAAAACAAATAAACCTAAGAAACAACACATTGCATACACACCTAAGACAATATGCAAATTTTTCTTCACCCTTTCAATAAAGAAACTGTACATAGCAAGAGGAGTGGCTTCAATTTTCCTGTTCTCCAGCCTTGCTGCACTTTGCATTTTCTCAACAATTTCAGCCTTCTCATCTGCTGCAAAGATATTAGGCACATCACCAGTATTCAGAAGCATGTTGATGTCTTCCACAAAGGATTCATCCTTTATTTGGTTATCACAGAACAAAAAGGACACGTTGGTGTTACCAACACCTGCTTTCAGCATGACTTGTTTGATGTCATCCTTCCATTCTGTGATGCCATAGGATTTGGTGATTTCAATCTGGAARAGCTCAAAGGAATTCATGAAGGTGGCAAGCTTGGTGGCACTCTGCCTGCCACTGCCACCAACACCCACCAGCAGCAGGTGCCCATTGTCCTGTTTGAGCACCCTGCATATCCTGGAGATGTGCTCAATGGCAAACTGGAACATCACCAAGGACATTGGAGCCTTGCTCATGGTGTTGTACTCCTCCAGGTAGAATTCCATCACGTTTGTCAGCTGCTTTAAGTCTGTGATTTCATCATAAATCCTGACAGTGCTGCCAGGCTTTAAATAATCTCCAAAGAACAGAGCCCGAATATTGTCATCAGTGACAGTTCCAGAAGGTGAGAGATGGCCCAGGACCTAGGGAAAAGACAGACAAGAAGAATCAACAGGTAATTCCATCAGAAAATTATTTTCCTTAAAGTTATAATAATCTTTATCTATTAGTATTAATACTGCAGAAAGCAGTTTTTCACTGTTCTAGTTACTACCTTGGTCTGAAAAAGAATACTCTAGGTTGACATGCAGGTTTCCATGCATGCATACCTCACAGAGAAATACTGCTGTCAGTGATAGGACCAGTTCTCAAAATGCCAAATAATTGGCCCAATTTTTCCACAATAATTACCCAAATAATCATCCAAATAACTATCTTGAGTAAAAGCATAGATAAATGCTGTGCAAGACATTTATTCCATTCCAGTTGGTCCCTTGTACCAACACAGAATCCTTTAGAAATTGCAAATCATTCTGATATGAACTATTTTGAGTAAAAGTAATACTTAATGCTGAATAGAAGATCTTCCAAACTTTCTTAATTCACTGATGAAAATATTGCAAAATGTCTGCAACACTGATTTAACCTCAATGTTAAATTATTTCTGAAAATGCATTGGTATCATTCTTGGTSCCAGCACATTATCCAAAAATACCTTATTAAACTTCTGCTTGAAGTTATTTAAAGTTGTCTCTTGTACCATCTGAAAGAAAACCTTCTTGTCATCTTCATCAACTAAGCGATCGTAGAAAACTCTGTAAACCTCRTGAACCCAAAGTCTGATCAGTTTATCTCCATCCTGAAAATGTAAATAAAAAAGCATGGATAAATATAGCTCAGGCAGGATTTATTCCAAAAGCAAAGGTTAGCAMTGTCCATCTGGACCTGCTGTACCTTGCACTAAACTCAGTGGGAATCTTTCAGTCCCAGCACATGGCCCAGCACCTGCTAAATTACTGCAACCCTCAGGTTCCCATCCTGTCCCTCCTGCCAACACAAACTGGGACTCTCATGTCACAGCTTTTCTCTATTGTACCAAATCTCTCCATCCCTCCAAGATCTGGGTGTAACCCAAGCCCTGCTCAAATCTCTTCCTGCCTATGCTTTCCCTGGAATAGCTTGTAGCTGTTTTGTTCTGTTTCTGCACCAGCAACATCCCTCCAGCAGAAATAAAACCTTTAACACTCTTTTAATCTGACATTTTACTGGAAATGGATGAAAAACGTAGGAGGGTGAATCTCCTGTACATCTACCAGTATTCATTTGTACTTTGTGACAAGAGGCAAACTTGGGGTGAAATTGTTCAGTCCTGTTCATGACAAGCTGCCATTTGTGAAAAAGGAGACACTGAGTCTTTTCTCACTTTGTTTCTTTTGTGTATTTAGTTTGTAAGTTCAACAAGAGGGGACTGTCTGCCTTGATGTGCAGCCTTTAACATGAGGACCTTGCACCTCTGGGCCCAATGTAACACATGGAAAGAACATGAACAAAATGACAGCTCTGCCTTAGAGACAGACAGAAAATACAGAACAAGGTACTCAGGGACTGCTCTGATTTTAAACCCTGTAAATCTATTGTAATCATAGTTCATATATTTTGATATATTTACTTATTGATATTATAAAAATAATCTACTTTTTCCTGCTCTCTCCTAYCTGAACATAATTAACTTCAACTTACTTGCAAATGAGTGTGTGGACAGAGCAGAACTCCTTTAATAACCCTGGAAAAATCCCGTAGATTAAAGACATAGTGGGATTTGGAAGGAGTTGGGAGAAAATTATCAACTGCCAATTTATAAAGCACTGATGTCGCTTGAACCATCATCTTACCCAGCCTTAAGAAGGAAAAGAAACAGAATTTTAACTTCTGCAGATAAATCACAGGGAAAAGATGACAAAGGCACTACAGGGAATAGATCCCTCACCTCAGAAATGAAGAATCAAAGCCTTTGCTGAAGTGCCAGTCAGTAACTGCTGTAAAAATCTTGCTCAAAGTGTCATCAGTGAAAGAACAGATAGAGACAATGTTCAAGTGTCGTGTGAAGCGTCCTGTAACACACACAAAAGGATGCAGAGAGATTTAAATATTCAAATATTTTTCCATCTTTCAGCCAGGATTGACTGTAGCTACCCTAGGGCTTTTATTCATGCAATTTTTTCATTCAAAAATGTAACCTTCCTCACTGCATTATGACAGGAATTCTGGACTTGCAGGTAACATGCCTGTAAATAAATGCAGGCAGTCTACCTTAGCAGCAGGAGATACAATTTCAGAAAAGATTTGTCAGAGATGTAGCAAGAAGACATATTCCCTCCCTTTTCCAAAAAAAAAGAAAATGGAAATTGCATCCATTGCTAATTTAAAAGAACTTTCATCATTCACATTTAATCAACATTAAAAACATTGCTTTCAATGTTGATTAAGTCCCCTGGAAAAGGTTTGAATTTGAACATAAAGGCCTCTCTTGGAATGTCCCAGCCAGTGAAGGGCACAGATAGAGGCAGAGTTTGCCTTTATCAGCAAACCTGAGCCCATCYCCTCTGTTCAGCAGTGGATTCCCCTGGCACACACAGACATTTCCCACCTGTGATGTCATTCCTGCCTCCCCCAGGGGGACCCATGGCTGACACCAGCAGCACATCGATGATCTGGATTTGGGATGCATCCTTCCTGTCGTACCAGTGCCCGTGGTCGATCCACTGCCTGAGCAGCTCAATGGCTGGCTGAGCTCCATACACCTCCTTCTCAGGCATGTTCAGGTCATCTGGGAGAGCACAGACAAGGAATAAAACCCTCAGTGTTTAGGAATTTGCTTTTCTTCTAAGAAGGAAAAATAACTGAACTAGAGGGAGCAAAAGGCCGTGTGTTGTTGTTCCTGTGTGCCATTGAACTAACCAAAATCAAACACCATCACACCTCACAGGCATAACTCRGGGTGATGGCTTWTCTTTGTGTGGTGATTTGGTTTTATTTCTTTGGTGATTTGGTTTGATTTCATGTCATGTCCCACTGCAGCTCTAAGGACTACTCTGAAGACAACCACCACTTAAACCTCTCAGCAGGGGCAGTGCTAATCCTTTGATGGTTCTKGTGGGTCCCCTYCARCTCAGGAGATTCTGGTACTCTGTGATTCTCTGGATGCCTGAAATAAGCCAAAAACCACTGAGGCAATCCAAATTTACTAGTCTCAGTGAAACACTTCCTTTGCCTAAAGCCAAAATGAAAATTATTTTTAAGAAATGAAAAATGTCTCTTACCCACAAAAATTATAGCTTCTTTCCCTGTAGGAGGTCCAAATAATCCTTTTTTTCTTCTGTCCAGCTTGGACATAATAATATCCTGGGTTTGGTTAGCAGAGGTTCTTGCAGAGAAGTTGATGAAACTTGGGACATATTTTTCCTTTGGAAGTTTTAGYAGAAAATTGTTTGTTATAGCTGTTTTTCCAGTGCCAGTGGGACCCACAAAAAGCAAAGGGACATTATGCTCCACATATGTTTTAAGAAAAAACATTTGTCTGGCAGTTTCCGTGGTGGGAATGATCAGCTCAGATACCTGGTACACAGGAAAGTAAARTGAAACATGAAAATCAAACATCTAATATCTTAACATGAATATTTGCAAGCCACTATAGGAACCCTGTAGCACAAATGCAATTAAAAAAAATCCATTATCTGAAAATCTAGGCTGTAAGAAGATTGTAGCAGATACCATGGCCCCACTCCTTGTTCAGGGCTATACAGTCAATAGAACAACCAGGATTATCTATATAAGCTTCAAATGTTGCAAATCATCAATCAGCCTAACGTATTATTTACACCTCTAAACCATTTATTCAAATAATTCTTTTCTATAATAAAGACACCAATATGAACCTTGGCCCCTGCATCGATAACTTGCTCTTCCTTTGAGATGTAGTCTGTCCACGTGTTCCACTGCCCATGGCCATACTTGTGAAAATAGAAGTCATAAACACTCCCTGTCAATTGAAAAACACAACACAGGAAAACCCTGGGATTAAATCACAAGAATTACCCTCAGTTATTTCAGTGTGAGATGTCCAACACAGTGAGATAATGGAAGCTTTTCAGCACACAAAATAGAGCCCCACACACCCCAATCAGGCCCCCAGTGCCATTACCATCACCAAATGATTTTGGGATGGCTTCAGGCACACTGTTTGAGTCCAACAGCAGCCATATGCTACTGGTGGTTCACAGAGCCAGGAAATGGCACCCACTGTGCCCCCCAAGGCTCGGCAGATGGCAGCTCTGCTGCAGCCCCAACATCTGCCAGGCACACCAAGTGCTCCCTTACTGCTTTAAAAAAGCCAAGCCAGTACAGTTATGGAGATGCACCTTTCTGTGGGAAGAGGTTGTTATTGGTAAGCTTCACRTTTTTAGGCCGTGGGTGTTCCTCATTGGTTCCTGACAGCAAGTTGCGGTAAAATGGATCAAATTTTCTTCTGCTCTCTGCATCGATGATCCCTCCAATTGTCCACACCAAAGCAAAAAGGAAAAGGCCCTGCAGCCATGCGGTGATTTGCTGATTTGACAGGGTTTCACCCTCCTCATCATCAGCTTCCTTTATTTCATCTAAAACACAGATTTTGAGTGCCAGTAAGGACCATAAATCCCAATTCAAAATGCATTTCTGCAAAAGTATCCTGAGGCAAAAGTAGGGCACTGTCTTCAGTGGAATGAAGCCAGTCTATGAAAGGAGATCTTGYGTGTGTAAACACTGTTCACAAATAAAAATGAAATTAGAAGGAAAGTATTTAGAAAGGGTCCTAAGYTTTTTCCTCAGATGGTAGCAAACAGCAAGCAAAACATAGAACATACAAGATCATGCTCAGTTTTGTAATGCACCAATTTCCAAATGTGAAAGATCTGTATGCTGGTCAAAGATCTATTAATAATACTGATCAGGGASGTGACTGAATGTCTGTATGAACTCAACAGTAAAGAATTCCTTTGGTATTTCCTTGCACCCTATAACCTGCACTTTGTCCTGGGACATGGCAGGAGAAAAAAAAAAGAAAAAATGCAATAAAAAGAAGTGGTTTAGGGTACTTACCAAGGAGAGAACTATAGAGTCTCATCAGGCTGTAACTCAGGTGAATAGAGGACGTTTTYACAATGACTTTGCAATGATGGTTAATGAAATCTAAACAGGGCTCRACCAGCCACATGAACAAGCTGTTGACCTACCAGAGAAAAGGAAATGGCAGTGTGACAATGCAGAACTCACCACATCCCCCACTGGCCCWCAGTTCACCTCAGTCAAATGTAAAGCATCAGAAATGGTCCAGGCTGGCAGAGACATCAGGAAAGGGCCCATGTGAGGCAGAACTGAAATGTTCACCAAGTCACACCACCATTACCTGATGGTGAAGACAAGGTGCTTTTAGCACAGAGAAATTCCTGCTCCATGTACTCAAACTGGAAACAGGACAGGAATCATGAGCTGCCCTTTTCCCAGGGACTAGCACCCCAGGAGATGCACTAAAGGGTCAGCTATCAGTTGGTTGGTCTGATGAACTAAGGAAACTATAAATAAAGAGCTCTCCTAGTGTTGGTACTTTGGAATTTGATTCTCATTTCCTGCAAAAACTCAAAGGGGGTCTTCTCAAATCACAAAAATATGTTTTCTACAGCTCCAATCTTAGTATTATTGCATTAATTTTACTATATTTTAATGCCCAATAATAGGGATTTTAAATGTTCATTCAAAGCTGATTCTCAACAATACCTGTTTTAATTTGCATCTGCTGAAGACATAATACAATACACAGCACAAAGAGCTCTCATTCATGCAATCAATGAGGTGAAAAAGGCTTTGAAGACTGAGCTGTAACTGGTAATAATATAAAAGTTTGCCTTCAAGTGGGCAAACTGTGAATGCCACCCTAATCTTCCAAATCAGACCCATGTAAAAAAGGAAGTTTCGCACCAGCTCTCGGTGCTCCTCCTCCAGGTTTGCAGGCAGAGTTTTCAGGTAGGAATCCTTCAGTGGCTTCCAGCCTAACTGCAGGGGGTCCATGTAGATCATACCACACCTGAAAGAACAAACACCATGGTAGAGGAAGCATGGCAAGGTGGGGCAGCTCCACACTGCTCTGACATTACCTGCTCACAGTTGCTGGAGASGCCTCCTCTAAATCCGCCGGCTCAAAGATTAAACTCATTTTGGAACTCATCTGAATKATTTCACCACTCATTAAGCATAACTGGAAGAAGAGCATCACATGAACATGGTCTGGTCATGTCAGTGCTGATTGTACAACTAAAGCAATGTCTGWCATAAAATCACTGAATATTCCATTAATGTCACTCCTCATTCATTCATCTGTATCCTTACAATATAGGGTATTTTATGACCTTGTCTCAACTTTTCCATGTCTTACCATAAGGACTGCAGACACACAGAGAACAATGCTCTATCTTTAAATAACTCTGCAAGAAAAGCATTTATGACCTGCTGCTTTTTTTAAATTCATTTATTCACTAGGTAATTTAAGCAAGTTCAGCTTTCAGTCAGCAAACTGAGTTCATGCATTTCAGTTTCCTAAAAGGTCTATAAAAAAGCCTCAGTGATCAAGCTCATTTCAATAAAGAAGGAGCAGGAYAAGGCTTCTAGAGAGAAGTAASAGKTTAAYATCACCTAATGCCATCTCAGCCCAYTCATAYAATTGGRGAAATAAAGCAATGCTTYAGGCACATCAGCCTTTCCTGAGCTGCACACCTCCTTTGACTAATGCARTAACAACATTGCTACTACTAAAATCGAGTGTRTTTGTTCAAGGATGARGTTATGGGCAAAGTTAGGCTACCTTTTTATTATCATCCAGCACAGTGTTCATGTTCTCTATCCAAACTGCATCCACTGGGCCATCAAAAATAATCCACTTGCGATCGTCYGTGGTGGAAGATGCTTGTTCCCTGAAGGCCTTGGCAAGAATTCCATCTGACCACTCGTGACTCACAGGATCAAAACTGCCATACAGCTGCCCCATGGTGATGGCTTTGGGATTAATGACTTTGTATTCAACAGCAAATTCATCCATGGCGTTTGCTGTGTGAAAAGRCAAACAGAATTTGCCAGGTTAGGTTTGTTGAACAGCTGAAGTACCGAACAAAATGATTCCTGAAGATCTGACTTCAGCAGCTCAAAGCAAAATAACCCAAATATTTGGGATTTAGGTGGCAGTAAATAAGGAATTCCCTTACTTCTACAGGGGAAGCAAGAAGTCTGMTGTAAAAAAACACATGAAAGAAAGAAAAAGCAAAGCAGCATAGATTTCATATATTTATGGGAGCTACTTACAATATCCTATCAGAGCTAATTTTTAAGAGTATTATGCACAAATAAAATGCCTAACAAAATTCAAAAAAGCACAAACACATTAGCATGGCTTACTGTTCCTGTAGATGTAGACAAAAATACTATCTGACAAATTAACCAGACAAAAATAGTTCAATTAATAGAAATTTTGCAGTCAAGACAGAAGAATATATGACAAATACAACGTGGTCATATCTCAGTAGAAGAAAAATAACTCATCAAATTAACTTCAGTTCATGAGAAGTTTGTAGCTGGACAATGTTACCTGCATGCAAATCAGCCAGGGCTCCAGCCAGCACTTTGTAGGAACTGCTCTTCCCACTCATGGGATCCCCAACAATCATGAAGCCGTGGCGCACCAGCATCATTTCATAGACCTGCAGGGACAAGAGAGATCTCCAGCAGGGCTCAAAAGCCAGGGATGTGTTATGTGAATGAAAYAGAGGTGTCTGTGCTGCATTCAGATGTGACATGGCTGAATCCCTGCACTCTGCTGGCTGCCCAAAGCCTCCATCCAAAYGAGAGGCAGCCATGCTTTTGTGGCAACTCTCACTGACACAATTTAGGTAATTTTCCACAGGCTCCTCCCTTTCTCCTCACTAAATGTCATCCCCCAASAGCAGCAGTGTTCAGGGTGTGAGTGCACTAACAGACACTGCAGAGCACAGCCCTGCACTGGGAGGGCCCCAACTGGAATCACTGGTTACCAGTGRGGCTGACAAAAAGGCACTGAAACTGCAGCTCTGAGGGTCTGCCATGTGCCTGCTCACACACAGACTGACTTTGGACTGCAAGAGTGCTCACTTCTCCAGTCACCCCTCGAGATCTTGGCAGAGCTCAAGTCAAAGCAAGAACCCCAACAAGATTTTTTTATCAGGTTGAAGCTGATATTTCCTGGCTTAGCTTTCATTCCCAACCAGTTAACACCAMCCCTATTTAAATGAAAGATACAGTATGGTTTGAACATGAGCCATAAAATCTGAACTGCTGTAGGGAGGCCACCCAAGACCCTGCCCCAGGCCACATCTTTTTACCCTGTCACCAGGATGCACTACTCACAACAAAAACAAAAAAAAAAAAAGAATTGTTTGAAATACTAGGAAATGGGAGGCACTGGAACACAGGGCTGGAAGTGGAGCTTAAGCAAGGTCACCTCTTCTCAAGGAGACTGTGAACAGAGCTGGGAACAGGGCCTGACTCCAGTCCAGCAKTCTGTTCACCAGGTTACACTGCCTCAATCAGTAACAGATTCCATTTAATTTTCTATACTAAACCACAAGATCTACAATATGGCTGCACACATTAGCTCCCTCACAGACTGCCTGAATTCCAGAATCACTACAATCAAAGCAGGCTTTTATTYCATGACTCTTAACTCAGTAAAAATACCCCATTTGTAATATTCCATTAATTGGTAAGGAAACTATTAGCTATTCATTCACAGCACAGACAGTGACTGAAGAGTGTTTCAGCTCTCATGCTTTTCTTCCCCAGAAGTATGTGAAAATAAACCTGAATAATTTTTCCAATGAACCATGGAACTGGTTGAAGATTCAGTTTTTCAATATTTTCAGTTAGTGCTTTGATAAATAGGCCATAGTCTGGTGTAGGAAGAACCACTCCAGGAAACAGGTCAGATATGATACCCTGTTGAGGAAAGACAGAAAAGAACACCATTTAAACACAGGTTACAAAAGAGAGAATTCCCAAGTAAAACAATATTCACAGAGATAACAGCAGCTTAAAAGCAAATGTCCTCAGCAGGACAAAACTAACTTCTAGGCAAACTGCAGCCATGGAAATGTATACATGAAACAGAAAGCTGTGCCTGCAGTTTTCATAAACACAGTGCTATTGTAAAAAGCAGCTTAACCTTTGCACATTTCCCCCCATCAGCATTACACAAAAGGATGTGGAAGTAGTTGAAAGAATTTCAGTGATTAAATAGAAGGGTATGTGTTCCAAAATTTCAGAGCAGTGACTGGCTGTGCTTGTACTCTAGCTTTTAGTCTGTAATATTGATTGCTTTGTAGCTTAACACAGTCTTTATTTTCTATTAAAGCAGCATGCAAACAGAAACTTCATCGTTTTTCTTCTGAACTCAAATTTCTACATCTACATCTCTTTTCGAGCACAAAGCCAGAATACAAAGGTCAAATAATTATATCCATGAATGAAACAACACAAGATGATTTTTGACAAGATACTTTCTAAAACACTTTATAGAATAACTTTAAAGGCACCACTGYAAGTTTGCTTTTCAGAATAATCCCAACAGAACCAAAGTGTTCCTCCAGATCAGTGGACTGAAATAACTCTACACTAATATGGTATCACCTAGATCAAAGTGGTCTAAATCAAGATAATGACCTGTTTCTGTCGGTTCTTGTAAAGGATCTCATCATCACAAAACCTAAAACACACTGCCCTGATACCTTACCTGAAACAAYGGCACATCCTGGGACAAGAACTTGGCCAAATTAACATCCAGCAAYGCCCGAAGCAACAGCACACTTTCATTTTCTGTTGGGTATTTCAGTTTTAGGTTCCCTGCTGCTGTCAGCACCGATTTCACCGCACGCATCCCGTAATCGTAGTGGTGCTGAGATGACAACTGCTCTGAGCACAAACGGTACGTGGCAACAATCTTCTGGGCAAGGCTGGGCATCAGAAAAGAAAACAAAACATAGAGAATGAAAATAACTCACCATGCAAAGAAAATAATTTACCTACCTAYACACACAAAATAACTGCAGTGACTCTGAGACTCATCAGCTGACAAAATGGCCCAGCACACCTGTAAAGCAATACTGTGAGAGAATGTGTGCACCATTTAGGAATTGTGTTGGGTATTTTGATACATTTTCCAAATGATCCCATGTAGCAATGCCTATCTTGGCAAAGTGAGGTGGTGAATGAGAATTAATAAGAAAGCAGATTAAACAGTAACAACCTAATACATACAGACAGATCATGGACAGACTTGCAGAGCTTTATCCTCAAACACACAGGTATGCCTTACAGAGGAAAGAGGTGTATCAGACTCAATAAACACAGAAAATTCAGCATGCCTTACCTCTTGGAGTCCAGAAATCCCATTGAATAAAGTGAAATTTCCCCAATCAAGGCATAATCTGGRACCATCATGGCAACTGTTCGGAACAACGCCTACAAGGAAAAAGTAAGATACCAGCTTTTGACTATGGAATATTGTAATAAATTGTGTCTGCTTTGTAAGTATAACATCTCTCCATAAATTCATGAATGCACAGAATTCATGAATCATCTGAAATCTGAGACTGCTTTAGAATTCTATTCTATCCTAATCTTACCAAAAGGTTCAAGAGGACTGTGCTAAGCACTGCAGTAAYAAATGCTTAGCAAGAGTCAATTCTAAAGATCTGTGAATTAAAGAAAAGGGAGGTGACATTCATCTTCCTTTTGTAACAGATACACTGGCACATGGTGTGGTTAATGCCTTGTAAAAGATCATGCTAAGAACTGTGGCAATGCTAGAAAAAGAATCAGTCTCTCTGTAGTGTCTCAGTAACTCACAGAGTTATAATAAATTTAAGTTGGGACTGGGATCACCAAGCCATTGTAATCCCAGAGAATTTCCCCTTAGGGAGAGCACAGGTAAAGCTGTGAACTTTATCAGTGTGATTAGACTGAGACCTTTCATCTGTGCATTTTGCACAATCCTAAGTGTTTACCAGAGCTCAGTGAAAAGCACAGCATGACACACTTGAGCAGGTTATCAGTTGTGCTGCTTTGACTGGGGTASAGTTAATTTGTTTCACAGTTGCTGCCTGAGGCTGTGTTTTGGATTTGTGGAAACAGTGCTGATAATTCAGGGATGTTTKAATTATTCAGAGCAGAATTCACACAGAGTGAAGGCCTTTCCTGCTCCTCACCCCACACACCAGCACAAATGGGTGGGGACACAGCCAGGCCAGCTGAGCCAAGAGACATTCCAGAGCATTGGGGGTCACACTCAGCAAAAGCAAGAGAGGAGATGTTCAGAGTGATGACATTTTCCTTCCTTAAGCAACCATTCCACATCAGTTCATTGTTCAATTGCTCACTTTTCTTATTATTCTAGCTGCAAATTCAGTTTAATTCCTACAAGAATGCAGGATTTCAGACTTACCTTCAGATTATCAGGCAGCTCTGCCCGTCCAGCATAGCCAGGATTCATGGTAATAAACACAGCACAYGTGGGATTAAGAGAGATCTCTGTCCCTTCAAAGATGAATTTTTTGAGTTTGCGAATAATCGCTTGCTGGATGCTAAGTATTTGTTGGGCAACTACAGATAATACTTCAACCTAATACAGACAGAACAGATTGCAAAACATAAGACACTTGGAGATAATATAAAATGGTTTTGTTTACATGTTTTGATGGCTTTATTTGTGTTCCTCCAGGGCAGAATCACCCTGAGCTGATATATTAACAGCCTACTGAAGGGATCCTCTGAAAGTTCGTGCCACTATTCTGTACTCTAYTAACAGAGACAGATCAACAGAGGCTTCCAAAAGCCTCCACAGGGAAATACCGTGTGCCTGAATGCAGACAGCTGAGTTAGTTGGACAGCAACTCCCTCTGGAGGCCTCGAAAAGCACTTTCCCTTCAACTCAGATAAGTCAAGAGTTTAGACTTCAGAAAAACTGACTCACTCAATGCCCAAAATTGAGGGTAAATAACAGGTAAGAGTGCCCAGTGGCAATCAGGAGTGCTTTAGAGTATCAAGGTAACAGAATATTGCAACAGGAATGCTAATGCTTGAATTCACTAGAAAATAAGCCACAGCAGAAAAATGGAAAAAATAMGGAGTTAAAGATACTAATACACACAAAAGAGAATTTAATGGAATTTCCACATTCACTAGTATGTACTTAAATTGAATTCCATCAAAGTAAATATAAAACTTATCCAAAGTCATCAGTGACCAAATGAAACAAAACCAAAAGGAGCAGAGTAAGATCAAGGRGAGAATTAGATGTGTCTGTTTACACAGTTTGATAACCAGGTCACTCATCAGTGACACTCAGCTCTGGTCATTACAGGAACCCCTCCACTGGGATGTGTCTGACCTGTGCTGAATACAGACAAATACAACTCTACAGTTTGGTTTCTCAAACAGAAGACAAGAACAGTTCTTTCCCAACAAATGAGGGTCACATGCAAAAGAAAAAATTGCATAGGAACATTTTTTTCAGCTAAATGGACCCAGAACATAAGACTTCTGCAACAGAGCAGGCATGTGCTTCTAGAGCAAGCAGCTGAGTGTCTATTGCTGGGTCACTCATCTTTGAAACAAAGAGTCTCACCACAAGTAAAAATAGAAAATTGGCAATAACACTGTCATATCTAAATCTAAAACTTCTTGTGTCTTAAATGCAAGCTTTCTCATTGTATTTGTCCCAGTTAAAACATTACCTCAATTCTATTGAACTCATCAAAGCAGGCCCAGGCCCCAGCTTGTGCCAGCCCCTTGAAGAACTTGCCCATTGCTTTGTAATCCAAACCATCAGAGCAATTGAACACAACACACTGCAGCAAAAACACAGAACATTTCTCAGTGTTAGCACAAAGTCCACTATAAAATTCTTAGCATCTAAATAGGAAGGGATTACTGTTGTTAATTTTGGATATGAAAACCAGGATGCCATATAGACACAATCCTAAATGTGTGCTTCTTACCAACTATTCCTGTGAATAAAGAACAGAATCACAGAATCATYAGGCTGGAAAAGACCTTTAAGATGTTCAAGTTCAAACTGTAAATAGGAGTACTTGCTAAAGAATGGCATTTTAAGAAATATCTGCATATCCAAACATTAAGGGTGGAAAGTAAAAAAAAAGGGAGTTTTGGTACCTGCTTAGCTATGGCTTTTGCAAGATCTTTTGTTGTTTCTGTTTTGCCAGTTCCAGCAGGCCCTTCTGGAGCACCACCAAGACTTAATTTCAAGGCACCCATTAATGTCCTACATTTTTAAGAACACAGGCATTAGAAATAGTGATCTTTATTGTCAGATTGTTTCTGAATGGATTGATAAGTATTTTCCAATACAGGCAAACAATTTACTTGTTTCTCTACTGACTTTGCAGCTTGCCCTGAAACCCCAGTGTTGTCTCAGAAGTGATTCCTAAYTGTGGAAGCTCACATTCAGCCACTTGGCCTAAAAGCAATGTCAAGGCTTTTATTACATCATCCACCTTGTATATCCTCAATTACATAAGCAAATGAACAGTGCCACAAGGAAAATGGTCTGCAAAAGCATTTCCCTCAAGTGACACTTGAACTGCAAGAGCTTGAAGCTGGCTTTATAAACTCAGCCAATCTTTAGAAAGGGATGAGGAAGCATAAAGGTTGATACAAAAAACAGGGAATCACACTGCTTTTCAAGTGAACATCTTCATAAAATGAGATCCCTGTTAACACTGGAGCGATCTGATTATTTTACAAAACCCTCATTCAAAGGCTTTGACTCCTGTCTTGAGGGCTCACCAGGAGTGAAATTCCAATGCCTTTGAATATTTCAGCCTTGAGGACTGAGGCATTTCCATGACAAGCTCTTGCAAGCCAGTGGAGGAGCAGGAAGGTAACTGCATTCAATCATCTATGAAGGGCTCTRTAATCTCCTCATTTATCTTACAGGCAGCCATATCCAAACTGTGTGTCTTATTCCAGATAAATTAATTGACCAGTCCCACTGCAGAATTTGCAGTTCCAGCCCCACATGCTGCCACCTCTTTTCAGAAGCCCCTTCTTGGATACAACAGAGTCTCTTACTCTACTGGTAAAAGCCTATACATTCAAAATATTTTACCATATCTGGACAAAGATTTATAAGATTTGCCTCCAAAATCTACAGGAAAATGTTAGCTGCTGAAGTTCCTGCTATTGTTAATTACAACAAATGAAAGTAAACACAGATGAATCCAAAAAATGAAAACATTATTCCCAGACAGTATGGCTTTACCTGTAACATCGATCTGTTAGGGGGGTTATAACCAGACGCTGGGAATTGCCCAGATACTCATAACCATATTTCATTTCTGTKGTGATCATTCGTACCACTACATCATTCTCCTCCCAGTAGTATCTCAGCTGAGAAATCCACTGGAAGTCATTCAGATCTATGATTTTGTCGTCAACCAATTTTGAGACCACATCACGAGCTGCAGAGTAAAACACAGATTGTTGGAAAAATCCAAACACTTCTCCTGTGTTAGTTTACTTAAAACAGCTTGTAAGTAAAGTAACATTTACTTACAGCTATGWAAGAGTAATTCAACATTTAGAGTCTGCCTTTCAGGTTAGAGAGATATTTGGGAATCAGATTTTAACTTCATTTTAACGAGGTTCCAGTGTCTAAGTAGACAGGAGATCATTGTGCAGCACTGAGCAATCCCCAGTGGCCCAAAGAGCTGAGCAATGACTCTGTRAGGCTGATTCAAGCCAGAAAAGGCATTTTAGTGCCTGTCTCCAAGAGCAGCCAAGGACAGCASAGTTCCCCAGAGCAGCAGTGAGCACACATTACCGTGCACATCGATGACAATGAGAGCTCCCAGGGTCAGCCTGGCTCCACTGGACAGCTTTCCTCTCACCAGCTCCACTATGTCCCTGATCTGCAGATTGCTTTTCTCCAAGAAATCCTGTCACACAAACAAGCACAGCCATCAATGTGCTGCTCTAGCCAGCAGTTCCTAAGATCCTGTGGGTGTGATCAGCCTTTCCAGCAAAACACATTAATGGAAGCACTGTGAACCTAAGAAAAGTCTCAGAGTTCAGTGCTTAGAAATAAAAAGTTAGAAGAAARCCTTACTTGTAAAGCATTTTTCCTTATAGCCTCAGACACTTCTTCTGTCCAGTAAATGGATGAAACACAGATAACTGCCTGTCCAGGCCACTGSAGTACCCACTCTTTTCGAGGAACCTTAAACCAAAAGATCCCAGTCATATAAACACATTAGATTATGGCACTATTAACAATTACTTTCCCCAAATGTCTTTTGTCTCATGCTGCAAATAAACAAGAATCAGCATGTAAAGCTTTAATACTTTTTCTTCATGAAACTTCAGAGTTAAAACTTCTGACTGGAACTACTGAGCAAGAAGAGCAGGATTCCMCTTAGTTTCAAGCATGTTTCCCTGGTTAAGATTTTCAGCAACCTATTCATGTATATTTGCTTGTGAAATCTAACTTACACCGTAGTTTAGGAATAATTACCTGGCTGTATCCATTTAAACCATCTTGAAGAACTTGTCTTACACTGGCCAACATCATCTCTTCTACTTGCAGAAGCCATTTTTCTACCATGCCCTTYAAGAAAGAAAAGCAGTTAAGAGTCAACACACATTTCCTGATTATTTTCTTCTTCAATGACAAATTATTTGAAATGTGTTAGGCTTAAATATGCTTTCTTCTGATCAGGGTGTTGTATATAAAAGGAATAAAGGTTGAAATTTCCCAAATTCTGACAGGTCATACTGTAGTTTACACTGACTGAAAGCAGGTATATTAAGTTAACTCTAAAGACAGCCCAGCTAAAGAAACAGCAGGAGATGTTTCATATAAGCATAAACAAAAGCCAGACTGCATGGTCAGCTCCAGGGCATGCTTTGTTCCTGCAGGATCAAGAGAAAAGGGTTTCTGTAACTTACAACATGCCCCACTGGTCACAGGAATTTACTGCAAAATTGGTGTCTCACTCCTTTTTGTAGGAAATCCTTTTAATTCTAGAATACCAGTCTGCACTCTCACTTCCTAATCACCTTCATGATGTGATCCTAAATGGTTTAAACCTAATTCCCTCAAAAACATGCACTTTATGCAACATATTATGTATTAATCTAATTTCATCTAGTAAAATATAAAAAAAAAGAATTACATTTGCTTTCACTGGATAGATTTTATYGATGAAAGGAACAACTTCGTTCTCTGAACTTATCATCCCTATGATCTCCAGATCTTCTGTGAACTCCAGTTTAGCAATTCCTTCAAAACACTTCTTCAAATGTGGTTGTACTCGTAGTGGATCCTTTGTTTCAGACAGTATTTCAAGCAGCTCATCATTAGACAGAAAAAAGAATCTGCCAGAAAAATACAATCACTTTCCAATCATGAAAATTGCCATTAATAATCTACTCATGCAACTGGTTTTATTGTTGCTTAAAACAGTAGTGTATCAGAGGAAATTATTATCTCAAATCCCTTTCCTTAAGCAATTTTTCACTTTATAAAACTCATCTCTTTATGAAAAGGAAGAATAAGGGTTCTCAAACTCAGGCACAACYCCCATGGATCACACACCTCCAGAGAGGGCAGGACAAGGACAGAACTGCATATCAGCCATGGGAAYGTAGCAAGTTCCTCCAAAAACACCCTGTAAGTACCAGAGTTTATAGCTTCTTGTTTCTAACTTAGGCCTGTTTAATTAATTTACCTTGGGAAAAATAATCTTTTCGTCTCCAAGTAAGTATTCAGCCCCTTCTGAATGTCCTCCAAGAGACTATTTGCTTCCTGAAGTCTYTCTAACATCTGGGGTTGTTCAGTTGCTACAAGCACCTTTGTGTCTTTCACCTTTGTAAAATCAAACACATAACAGAAATTGCCAAAAATTGCACTAAGTTTTACATAAAAACTGTTAGCACCCATCACATATATTGCAGGAGGCTAAAAAGCTGTACTGTGCTTTCATGTTATTCAATTTGTTTGCATTATTTGATAGTTTTGCTTTTCAGACTGTCAGTTTTACCAGCTTGAACTTTATAGATATTAATGAAGGAAATATCAGGAAATAAGATCTTTGGCACTTGCTCCTGTGCTTGAGCTTGCTACACTGTTTTCCACTCACTAATAAGTCCTGTCAGACACACAGCACCTGACAATTATTCTCTGTTTTTGCCATCTAGGTTGCATTTTTTCTTTCTGATAACACTCCTCTTCAGAGGGTTCTRTTTCAGTACAGCCCTCATCATTTACACAGTCTGAGCTGTTGGACAGGTCTTGACTTCTACTTGGTTACACTGATGATTTCAACACCTTTATCACACAACCACACWCTCAGTGTTTCTGACAAACATCCCAGCTCACAGCACCCTTGTCTGGCTTCTTACCCAATTCCTCATTTACAGGGAATTGAACAGGTTACCATACTGCACATCCTATCCCCGTTATCTTAACCTGACACATTACCATAACAGTCTATATTCACTAAACTTTCAAATAACCATGCCATCACATGTCAGAGAACAATCACATGGAAAAAAAAAATTCACTCAGTTGCTCCAAAAGTGTGTACACCTTAYAAATCTAATGCAAACTCTCATTGTATCCAGGGAAGGCTTTGTACAGATTGTCAATGAAGTCTTAAGCAGATCCTGAAAGCACAAATCATTTATCTTTCTACCTAATTCTGTCCATTTAGCCAGAAAAAAAAGCCAGAAAATTTAGATTCACATGTTACTTGAGCTCTAATTCACCCTTCAATACTTGGCCTTTACAGAAGTCTCAAAGCAATAATGATATTAATATTTACTGCAAGACTAGGATTTGTTGGACTTTACTAAAGGATTTTCCATTCCATGGATACAAATCCCCAACTGCAGAAAACAGTATAAGCACATGGTATTAATAATCATGTTATCTGTTGTGCATAAAAACACACAATTTGAGAAATGTAAGCACTTACCACTTCTACCATAATGTTTTTCCAGTACGAATCCACAATCTTAAACTTTCTACCCTCTTCAGGCATTTGGGCTATAATGTCTTCTGAACTAAAAATTGGTTCCAAATACAACCATGTTGCCTGACATTTTAACCAGTTATCTATAATATCTTGCATTAAACASAGCTTATCTCTCCAAGCCTGCAATGAAAACATGTAGTAGTTAAACAAAACTAGTAGTTAAGCACAATTATAACAAAAATAAATCAAGAAACGTGAATATGTGTTCTTAGAAACAGTTAACAACTCTATGTCTTATCATGTCAAAATACCTTGAAATACTTAGGGAAAGTATGAGACATGGAAGCTCAATCAAACTGGCATTTCCTTACCAAGCATTCCACTTCTATTGGTTTGATGAAGGGAGAGCCACATATTGTCTGAGTCTTCACAATGTGATCATCCAGCAAGAGCTGGATGTCATCCACTGCTGACAGGATGTTGGTGTCCTGGAAAGAATCACATTTTGGTCAGTCCAACAGCAGGTGCTCTATTTCATTCAGCTCCTCTTTCATTCACCTATTTTCATCCTCCTATTTCATTCACCACTCATTCAGCTCCTATTTCCCTCTTCTCTATGATAGTTGAAGCAGCAAGGAACTGAGAAAGGCTGCAAATGTGGGAAGACATCAAATGGTTTCTCCTCTGTACACCTCTGTTTCAAAGGTCCACAGACATTGTTTTGTAAATTGGAAGCTGGTGCTTTCTGACTCAACCTTTTGCACAGTGATTCTCGTTTCTTCTGGGCAAGTTAAAATTTCACTGCAGTCCAGCTTTCCACAGCAGCTACATGCCATTAATATTTCTCAACTGGTATTCAGAATCAAAGTAATTATTTTCAGATAAATACACTGATTTGGTGTTTACTTACACTTTCCCTGTACTTCACCAAGCCAAACTGCACATTGACCCACTCCGATTTCATTTTCTCTATTGATTTCTCCAAGGAATACTCCTTACTTGCAGCTGCTCCAACAGGTTCTATTCTAAATTGAAATGAAACATACCTTTGAAATGTTTTTGTAATATAGGTGAAGAACAAAGAAAAAGCAGTTGTAGAGTTGCATATCAGACTACCTTTCATAATAATTTGTTAATAATATTGACTCTTACTTCGAGGAATGTTTTCCTACTTTCAGCATCACCAAGTTAGAGATATTGATATCAATTGCAAGACAAATACAGACAGAAAATTCTGAATGAGCAATTTCAGTGGTTTAGGCATACAATTGGATTTTTATGCTTCTGTGCTGCAATAACTGACAGTTCACACCTTGATAAAATACAGCTGATTACAGCATGTTCTAACAGCACACAAAACTCCAAAAGTGTTGTTTGGTATCTGACCTATGAAATACAATGCTAAAAAATGAGATTAGATTGAGCATCTTACTCTTCAATGAATTTTGAGAGTCCACAGTCCAATATGTTTTTAAGGCTCGTTTTTTCATCCGGTTTGATCTCGCATCCTACAATTTGACTAATCTGAAAATAAAGCAAGAAATAAATCTATTAACAAGATGCATTTTTGTAAAATACTTTMAAACAGCAAGCAACAAATTCTRAAGAAGTAYAGCACAACAGCCTAATTSGCTTTTCTGGCAYAAATTAYTAATTTWAAGAAGCTTCTGCCTGTGGTTTTAYAAATTTCMAAACTGAATCTATCACATCACAGGATAAAAGACTGTTGGTTTCTGGGGCAGAATATTTCCCTAATAAAGCAGAGTTTCAATACCTGTTCCCAGTGYCTCTCCTTCATCCCACGGTTGCAGGCAACAGACAGGACAGGGAGATGCTGCTTGAATTTATCCAGCTTGAATTTGATGGACTCTGCCATGCGCCKGGGCACAGGAGCATCTGGGAAACCCTTACTCAGCTTGTACATGGTCCTCCACATGTTCCCAACTTCATCACTGATTTCATCAGCATTCAGCTGCCGAAGAGATCCTGAACACAACAGCATAAAAAAACCACAGCAGGCACATCAGCACAAGGAGATTGCCAAGATGGTTTAATTACAGCTATTTTTAATCATTGTCCTCTCATTGGAAATCAATTCTATTAAAAAATTATCTTAATGCAAAATCCAAGTCTAACTCTAGTTCACACTGCTTAACAGCATTTATTTCTTGCAAATTATTTTCTCACAACTWATCAACCCTTTTAGCTTCTACTTAACTAACTGTAAATAACATTTTTCATCAAATGAAGATCAAGGCCTCACCATTCATCCATTCCTCAGATTTGGTATGGAAGCTGTATGCTGTTAGCCAAAGCTGCTCAAAGGGTTCTTTGGCTGACATGATAGATTGCAACAGAGGAAACTGAGTCTTCTCCCGCCCAAGCAAATCTTGTTCATAATTGATACCCTTTAAGGGAAAAAAAAAGTATATTATTTCCACCAAAAGCTCCTACTGTTACTTAAACTTTTAAGCAGATAATATGGAACACAAATATTTTGCATGTCCTAAAGCCAGACAGATCTGTAGATATAGGCCTGTGGATTTTAGGTAAATTCCCCAGGTTATGTKGTGGAATCAGAGAGGTCTTTTCCAACCTAAATGATTCTAAGATCATTAAGTTCAACTGTTAACCCAGCATTTGTGGGTATCTTTTATTACTCAAATAATTTTAAAAATCCATATACATTTTAGAATAAGATAATGTACCACGATTCAGTGAAAACAAGGTTCACATGTTTCCAATCCACTATRAAATCTGAATGCAAGCTTCTCAGTTAGAGAGGCTTGTAGGATTTTTTTTTAACTTCTGATTAGGATTTTTTGTTTTACAAAATTATCTRGGAGCTCCAAACAAAACTATGGTTGCTATGCTTAAGATAGTGTCTTCATCCAAAAGATTTTTACAAATAAAAATCAATGTGCAAAGGTTTACACTTTTCAAAAGTATTTTCTTCATTTATTTAACTCACACTAACTAAAAATACCARATGCCTTTAAATCAGATTAATAGTATTGATGTGTAGGACTAACAATTTATCTACATTTTAAACTCACTTAATTGGTTTCATTTTTTCTTCTGAGTAGGACTTAATTAAAATCTTGACCCTTAAGGTTTCATATATGGAGAAATCTCATTGTTGCACTGTGATTTAGAAGATTAATTAAGCCTCAAAATGCCTGTGAGATCTCTTACAGACAATCTTCTCATTTCCCAGCAGAGTCACAGCTAAGACAAACTGTTCAAATTAGAATGAGAAGTAAATTGGATGGAGAGCCTTAAAGAGAATTTAGGAATCTTGGTCTTCAGTTTGTTTCCTAGCATTTAAACTCCCATTATGTGTTAAAATGTATATTTAATGCCTATCAGCATTAAAAGGAATTATACAAACAGTTGAAAAGTCATGGGCAGGAACCAAACTTTTGTTCATCCAGCACACTGTAACTCACTTACTTCTTGATTAATMAACACTAACCTCAAATTCTGTTAGTGCCTTATCTATATTCTTATTTAACTCCTCRAGTTTCTCAGCATTCTTCCTCAGTTCTTCTGCAGTGACGATATCCCCCCGCCTCTTGAAGCTTTGTAGCTCTTTATGATAAACTTCAAGAGTTTCCCTAAACTGAGCACACCTGAGGCAAAGATAGTTAAGGTTATGTTAAGGACAGCTATGTTATGTTATTATAAGTTAACATTATATTACATTGTGTTTCATTCTGGTTTCCTTTTAAGGTTTCATGAGTAACAACAGGCACTAAAATCACTAAATCACTGAAATCTGATCTCAGTGCTGGTGAACACTGATGCCAGTGAAAGCTCACTAATCAGTTTTATCAATACTATGCAGTTCCATGGGATTAAAAGTCAAGGCTCAAACCTCACAGTTGGTTTACTTTACTTTGCTTACACTTGCTACCTCTACAACCTGCAGAAAATAAAGGAAGAGTGAAAACAATGCAGCAAAAGTATTTGTAATGCTGTACTAATCAATGTAGCAACATAAAATCATGAATATTCTGGACCAGTCCTCGATTCCTACTTTCAGATCCAAGTATAGGGATACTCTAATCCACCCTCATCAACAGTATTTTCAGAAATCTTTATAATACTGTAAACTAAGTTTATTCCTTACTTTCTCAGCTTCCTTCTAAGTTTTCCTTCCTTGACATTATCTCCCTTCTACTGATAGTGAGATTTTCTTTTCCTTAAAAATACCCAATGAAAAAAACCTACTTAACACCATACCTTTCAATCAATGCATTCTCTACCTCAACCCTCTTGTCAGACAACATATCTTTACTGCTTTCAAATATTTGCCTTATCTCCTCAGGCCATTGGAAAATTGCGCCGTTCAGGTTTATGTCATCATCTAAAATGAAAAATATACAGCCATCTTTAAGAAAATATCTTTTAACCAACGATTTAACAGAATGGTTATTATATAATAGAATGGCTACTAAAAAGCAAATTARTTAAACTATGTTTAGGAATAAACAAAGAAGATGGTGGCTAGATTATCTTCACTGCAATGAAACTCTTCCCTAACACAAGTCTGACTAATAGCAAAACTGCAAAATCAAGTTAAGGGTGTGAAATTCTCTAAATAAGATGTTAGTTAGGCAAGGACAGTAAGAACAGCTATTCCAGAATATCAGTTCCAATTAGCTGCACACACAGACCACTCCTAACTAAACACACATTATACCTAATGGATAAGTGCTTAAATCATTTCTAGTCCTCAATCTGTAATGCTGAACTATTSACAAAAATAAACTCATTATTTCTATCACTGTCTGATCCAAGAGCATATTCTGCTTAAGTAAAAAGTATCACCCTAACACTAAAAAGTATCATCCTAACACTAAAATAGGTTTGCATTCATATAACCTTTTTAGGCCTTCCTTTTTAGGTGCAACAAATAACAGACTGCATCTTTGAATGACATTTTTGCTTTGAATAAAGATGCAAACTAAAAGTAACTTCTACAARTATTTCTTCAGTCCTAGAGAACAGACTTTATATTAACCAAGAACAGCAAACCACGACAGCAAAACAACTAAAGGCCTGCTCTGATCTAATCCTCACAATTTCCACATGTTACCATAGAGCCTTTTACACATGGCTTTTTGGATGGTTTTTCTCTGAAGAGTTTTTATTTAATAAGATAGAGGTGTAACATCATTTGGCCAGATTACATAACATTGACTTGATAATACCTAAAACACATTAATAAGACCTGTCTGTGCTATGTGCCATTCCTCTACTATTCCTTTCAGCACTGGTACATTTTGGCCTCTGTTGATTTCTTTTTATTTCCTTTTTGTCTCTTTTGGAACTTCCATTAGCACCCTAGACCATGCAACATTTAGGCAGGCAGAGCCCATCATAAATACATAAATAAGTATCATATGGAAATTTTATATTCTGTAGTTAGACATACCAGACAGATCAGCATAGTCCATGAGAACTTGCAGTCTGCAWGATGCTTTGAAGAGCTCCTTTTGCAGTCTAACAACAGTTACTTTACTGGATTTCTGTAAGAATGCTTCATAATCCACTAGCTGCTCAGTGTTCTGAGGCACCTCACTCATTCTCTTTGCAATGAAGCTAAAATCATCACAAATTCTACAATAAAAAGAGAATAGATGTATCACTGGGATTGCATAGATGTATCACTGGGATTGCAGTTAAGAGAGACCCAAGATCTTGTAAAATTGATATTTTCTTTGAAACAAAAATGTTAAATTTCTTCATAAATTTAACTCTTTTTTTTCTGTGAGTTCAGCCAGGCTGGCCCTCTTGCACTAGAAAACCCAGCAGCTGAACAAAGGTATCTCATCCACAGACACAGAGCATCAATCCAGACAGAGAGCAAGAACCATCCATGCAAACAACAGGTACCTTTGATTTAACCTTCTGTTTTCCAGCACTTCAAATTCAATCAATGTGTCTTTCAGATGCTGGGTCCGACTGCAGAGYTCCTCATTCAGCTGTGCAGCATCCAAACAGAACATGGACAGAGGAACAGTGACATCCATAGAAGCAATCTCGTTTTTCAGATCTGTGAACTTGTCAATCTTCTAGAAATGGAAAATAACACATCTGCTTTTTCCTAAAASTCTATAGCTGRAAAATCCSACACAACTAATAKYTTCCATCCAAYAAAYTGGATCATTTATTCCAAACAGAAGRAGGAAAACTAATTTTTATTTTTCCAGAGTTCTGCTCCTATCCAGAGTCCAGGGCTGAAAGCTCTGCACAGTAATTTGCCATAGCAGGGAAGAGCCCAAGCTGCCTAAGGAAGTTTTTAGCCTTATGCTAACTCAGGAATGCAAAGAGACAGGAGAGGAGATGGGCCTGACTGAGGACAAGACATTCAAGAGACAAGCAGATTGACCAAATACTCTGGGCAGCCTCTCACTGGACTTCTGCTAAGAAATCACAACAAAACCCACACAAGAAGGTCATAAAGAAACCTCCTCCTACATTCACAGAGCAGCCCTGCAGTAAGTTGCTATGTAAATTGAGCCCCTTCTTAGTATTCCCAAGGGTAAAATAAGTGATTTGTTACTTAGGCAATAAATTAGGAAGTCATTTGTGGTGTTAGCTGCTGTATGAACGTGGTCCAGYTGTCAGTAACACATTACCTCAGTCAAAGCCTCTAAAGAAGGATTTTTCTCCAAGAAATTTGTGACCTCCTTCTTCGAATTGTTGTTCAAAAGATTGYTGTATTTCTTGTACACATTTAAATACCTTAACACAGAAGATCAGATAAAGAAGCATAAGTTTCCAATGAGAAGTCTCTATAGAAAGAAACAAATATGCTCAAACTGTCTTTTTAGTCAAATGGACAATGTTATGAAATTGAGGGTTTGGAAGGGCAAAAGAATYACCAGCCAAAACTTACTTCTTTGGACCAAGTGTGTTGCTCTCAAAGATCTTTTCAACTTTGTTTATATACTCTTTAAACAATGATTCATGTGGTTTGACTGTATTAAGCGTGAGATCATCTCTTTGTAAGTCTGGAAATAGAAGTTTTTCTACCTAAAGGAAATCATTGCATGCACTATAATAAGACACAAAACAGTGGAAACAAGGTATTCTATTACCCAGTCACCCACCATGTAAAAACATTTATTATTTGGTAAAAACACTGCAACGTGAAAAGGCTCTGATCTGTAATTAACACTTGGTTACTCACAGTTTGTTTGTGAAAAGGGTATCAGATTCAAACGAGTGCTTTAATATAACTTGAAATGAAAAACATCTTCTGTAATCAAAAACTTTGCACCATTCATGATTTGCAATCCTCATCTTTATCTTCTATATGTCAGTCTTCAGCCTCATTCACAACCTTTAGTATTATAGTTTTTATTAATATTGCATTTTGCATGCAGCCATAACCAATCCAGTACCTTTGGCAGTTCCTCAGCACTCTGCAGGATCTCCATGAAGAAACTGCTGATTAAATCCCAACATGCACTCAAAGGTGGCTCAAAGACAATATTGGGTTCGTCCACACGGAGTTTGATTGTGAGGATCTGAGATATGAAGAACTTCACTCTTTCATATGGTTCTGTAAAATCGTTTCCATCCTTAGGGAAAAGAAGGAAAAATTCACAGAACAAAGAAGTGAGCCATAAGAGTAATCATGTATTCATAGGGGATTACTTATGTGCTTTCAGAGAAATACTGTAACTGCCTTGCCYRATTAAGACCAAGAAAAACTAAAYTAAAACCAAAATAAAATAAATGCACACTCACTCAAGACTGAGCTGAAATCCCCTATAAACTGTTACTTGCAACCCTACACCTGCCAAGTGATTATTCAAATGAGCAGTTCTTGACTGTGCAAAAAATCCACGAGTCTTTGAATGATACAGCCATTTGTTATGGAGGCAAGAGCCATTTGGGACATTTTAGGCCCCAAAGAGCATTAGATTTTATGGCTAAATGAATTCTCTCCATGTAAAACAGCAAACTGTAGCTATACTTGACAGCACATACCTTGTGGATCATAAAGAATGCAAGAAGGTCTTCTAAGGAGTTAACAACCATCTCACGCAATTGTAACGACATCAGGCTTGCCACAGAATTAAAATAGCTCTCAACTTTCTCAGAGGAATCAGAGTCGCTTTCAGGAGCAAAAGGAAGCCATTTCTTTTTCTGGTCAATGAAAAGAGATGCACAAGTTGGGATCCACCTACAAGGAAATAATACAGAGACTGTTTTTAACTGCTTGTGAGTCTTACTTTGATCCTTGCAATGAAATCCAAGCTCAGAAATTACCCAAAGAATGAGTAAAATCCAAAGGGCTAGAAGAGAATTGATACTAGATATGAAAGAAAACTGTACCTTCCAGGACTTAGAGGAAAACTGAGTTTTAAAGCTAAGGATACTTGTAATAATGGACCACCATGATCAATTTAAATTAATAGTAATAATTAATTTCCTATTAATAGTAATAGAAAAATAATAGTGACAATGTTCAATTATWAGCATTAAATGAGAAACAAGGCTGGAAGATATCTCAGGTGACAGAATGCAAACACTTCTATCATGTGCCTAATACAATCGCTTTCTTAAATTGACTGATTTCCATAATAAGAGAAAAAAAAAAAAGATTTTCCATCACCATTTCTACAGATTTACATGGCTAGAAACCTTCAGATTTCCAGTCTACATTTGTTTATGACCATTTGTTGTTGTACAAGCACTCCTGCAGCTGCAAAGCCTCTGACAGTACCCAGGTGCTTATTCCTCTCAGGGCTATCACCCCTTTGTTTTGGCAGTTTGTGCTTGGGACCAGTGTCATCTAAATCTAAAACCGGTTTTAAAAAGGGGCCCTCATGTAAGCCAGTTTATGTACAGCTGGCACTGACTTGTTCTGCAGGGCTTCACGAGCTTGCACACAGTGCCTTTGAACGATGTCCTCCAGCACCGCCGGCAGCAGGGGCAGCTCTCCAGAAAGCACCTCTGCCGTGCGAACAAACCGCAGCTGGCTGTACCTGGGCAGCAAAAACACACAGCAGCTCTTTAGGGAATGATGGTAACAAAAAACAACACCCATGAAAYACAGTCAGGAAGGCCTCAAATGTATTATCAACACTAAAAATGTAATTTTGTTTATAAATATCACTTCATCGCTAAGCTCTCCAACAAGTGCATTTCTGATTGTGTTCTGATTGTAAAGTATTTTACAAATTTTAATTTGTTCTCGCTGTATTTAAAACTCAATTCTTTGCTAAAATTGTCTTGTCCTTTTCCTAGATTCATTAATGCGTCCAGTCACTGAAGAACATACAGAATGAGACCTACTGCCTCTATTCCATATTAATAAGTGGTTATCCTGACTACTCTGTGGGGCAAAAAATGAAATTTCATCAGCATAACATATATCACAGACTGTAAATACAAGAGCTTAAATTCCTGCAAATATTTTTAAAGGCAAAACCAGCTCTCARAATCACTAACTACCATATTTAACTTCCTAAGATTACACACCTCAGTTTTCAAATTTCAACTACAGACATTTGAAAGATATTAAATTTTAAGAATTAATTTTGGTAATTTCCACAATCAGGATGAGAATTCCAAATCACCATTTACTTGAGCATTGAATCTTAATTTCAATATAACATCTTTTAACAGGAGGGATGATCTTTTCACAGCATGAATTTATCCACTCTTCACATGGACATGTAACACATGTTCATTCAGAGACTGCAGGAAACAATCATTTTATGCTGAAATTCTTAGAGGTTCAGAAAAAAGAATTGTTTAGAAAACATACATATTTTGCCACTTCCTTTGTAGTGGCTCCCCCAAGATCTCTGTAGCATATGCAGAGAAGTCAGCAGATGTACTCTCTAACAAGCCATTAATAAAAACATGCTAAATTTCACTAAGATACTATGAACAAGCCATCTTACTGTGTAACCCAGAGCTCTTGCAGAGTGGACATCAATGAATTCACTATGAACAGATTACTTTCATTCCARCTTTTGGTTTCTTTGTAAGAGCTGTGCCATGGGACAGGTCCACAGACAATTCTGCGGGGAAAAGGGCGCGGGGTTCTTCGAATGGACAGTCTCTTCCTCTCAGCTGGATCCAACAAGACATAATCAACTGCAACAGATCACAGGTATCATGGTCAGACTGCATGCAGAGCCAACACCTACATTCCAAACTGCTGTATCTCCATAGTTCAGGACACTCTAGAATTCTGCACACTTAAAAATGACATCATACAGTTACTTGTATGTTTTTAGGACAAAATACACACACGAGAACCAAATTTTAGAGTCAAATTTCTAATTATTTCAGAAAAAGAAAGAGAATTGGTTCTGATTCTAAAAATGGGAGGCAGAAGAAACAATTTTTCATTCCATCTTTCCATCTGATGGGATGCAAGGTTTCATAAATAGATCCTTGTTCAAGTTGATCATGCTATATAGCATGATACCAAGTTATTTTCTCTCAGAAATAGTAGTTCTACTGACCCCAAAGGAACTCTCCACAGATGCTTAGAATAGAATGGAGAACTGCTTTTAAAGAGCAGTAAATGTCTACATCCTTGGAACTGCTCAGAGATTGTGAGTCTTACCAATGGATTTCATGAGGCCGATACAATAGTCTGTCTTAATCTCYTCCTTTAATTTTGCAAGTACCTTCTGCAGCTCTGGGCTGGTGATAATGTGAGTTGGAATATGTTGTAAAATTCTATTCACCACTTCTTTCTCCTGAGGTGCCAGCATATCTTCCCGCACTCCTTTATAGATGTAGTGGCAGTACCGCTAAAAAATGTTTAAAAAATTATGCTTATTGTATAAACTTCAGGACAGATAATTAATTACTATAAAGTATTTTTAGCTTTTCCATCACTTGAGCCTTTTTTGTAATTGAAAGGTGTTTGAATAGAATGGATTTTGGCTACTTATCTCTGTTCCTTTTAAATCACCGACATCTTTATAATACTTCCATCTGTGTTGATGTAAGCATAGACCACCACAACCGAGTGCAGAATATTAAATCACTGATCAAAAAAGTACTAGAGAACAACATGAGGGGTTAACAATTTGGGAGATACTTAACTTGCAAACCCTTGGGAACAAAAATCAGAGTAGCTACTAACGAGAAAGGAGTCGACAGTATTTAACTGCAGTTTGCTATATTGAATATTTACATCTCCCAGTCCTCATGTACTGCCTTCTTTTCTCACTACCTTTTAGTCAACAGTTTACAGATATACTGCAGATGATTACTGCTGCTACCTTTACCTTAAAAAGAAATYACATAAATACCTCTATATCATTAACTGAAGGCGGCTTTTCTCGCTTACTTATCTCCTTCTCATGTAAATCCATGAGAGCAAATTGTTCTTCTGGGGTGAGTGGCTGGTCGTCTGTAAAATTTGTGACATGCAGGTCTGGTGTATGAGCAGGTGCACTCAGTGAAATGGGATTCGAACTCTTTAACAAAGTACTTTGGAAAAAAAGGAATACAAGTTTAGTGAATAAAGAAGCAGTAATGGTKAAGGACAGATCACAAGACCACTTGTGCTACACTGAAGGTAAGTATGAACCTATAGAAGCATTTCAATTATTCAATAAAACACCCTCATTAAAATTGTCACAAGCCAAACTAGACTGATAGTAACAATCTGAATCTTTATAACATTACAGTACGTTACCTATCAGAACTCCGCCGACGCTTTTTCCTAGCAGCTTTAAATACCAGTTAAGAAAAATTACATTCAGAAATATTTTTCAAATAATAYATTATTTCATATTGGTGAAAAGCAAAACCAAGATAATTAATCAGATAATGAAATCTAAAAATACAATGTCACAGATGCATTTAGACTTGATGTAGCATTTAGCAAGACATTAAAATGTCTTAAATAATCTTGCTGATTCAGGGACTATAAACTAGCATCAGGAAAGCAGTCAACTCATGCTTAAGAGTTCAGTGCTTACTTATCTCCCTGCACRAACCTTATTTTCTGCATTGGGACTTCCTATTTTGAATATAATAGCATAGTTTATGCTTATATACTCAAACTCACAATTTGTTCACTTTCTGCTTTGCCAGCAATTCCCTCCAAATAACTGCACGTGATTATTTGGAGGGATGARCCTAACTAATTAATCCAAAACTGGCCTTTCATTTCTTTAAGTTATGCAGGCATTGGCAAATTCATCTACACTGACTCTGAGGTGACAAGCTTGTAAGTGYTTATTAGGGATAAGTGATATTTTCCAGGGATGATGCTTTAACAGATAAAGAATTAGAGATATAAATGCACAGAGCAAGCAAACCCAAACCTATAAATGCATTCAAATATGGATACGTGGTGAAGCCTGTGATAGAGATGTCATTGAAACGGACTGGACTTTTTCCAAATCCTTCAATCTTAAATCCTGTGCAGTGGGAGTGTAGTTATTAGCTATGGAGTCACTCGGGTTCCGGTAGTGACACTGTTCCTTGAATGGAGCTGCCAAAGTCCATGATGACTCTTGCATCAAAGGAGGGTAACGGCCTTTCTCAAGGATAAGCTGAAATTGGAAGAAAAAAAGCCARAGTTTCACACAGCACAGTAATTTACAAAGCCTTCTTGGGGCTAGTACAGGATTAAACATCAATTGGTACAAACAGAAAATACGTAGGTCTGACATACAATTGACCACCAATCTGTTTTTAGATCASGATGCTCTGCACATGTAGAAGGATAATTTTATACAACACTTCAGTAGCAGTGAGTAGTGCATTTTTTTTGCATAATCAAGGTATCTTTTATAACTAAGACAGTACATTATCTAGTCCTTTCTACTGTGTCACATCCCCATCTTGCTTCTTTTCTTCTTATATTTGCTTAAATTTAGAAAATTCCTATTCCTCAAGCCTTCATTAACGAACTGTCTGCTTAACTGAAGTTAAGAAATTGAGCTCTTGTCTTTCTCTCACATCAGTAAGGATTTGTAATAGATTTCTTCTGTCTGTTCATTCCATGTTTTCTCAGGTGACTTGGTACCTACTGATGAACTTTYTCATCAGTCCTGATACCTGACCTTTACCAAGACAGCCCACAGGCACGTGAGAAGCACATCTCAAMATACGCTCAGAGATAAAGGTACATGAGATACAATCATGAATGTGATTGGAATTTTGGTCATTAAGGTTGGAAAAKACCTCCAAGGCCACCAATTCCAACCTTCCATCCAACACCACCACACCCACTAAACCCCAATTGGCTAAAACATGGAATGTGTGCATACCCTGCCAGAGGGGAGAGAGCACTCACCTTGTACAGGTCTGGAGGGGCCTCTGGAGCAGAGGCAGATGCAGAAGCAGATGCAGACTCAGATGCAGATGCAGAAGCAGGGGCAGGTGCAGGTTCAGGTGCAGGTGCGTGTGAGGATGATAATTTCCGTTTTGGACGACTCATATTGCACATGGAATTGTTTTGTCAAGTTTTGACAAAGTTATTGATCTTTCACAGTCACTGCAGAAGGAACTTTGCCTCAGGAGACTCAGGCTCTGTGTTGGCCTTATTTTGCTTGGGGTTTTTTTGTTTGTTTAGAATTTTTTTCGTCGTCCCTCTCAGTGTGAACACCCTTGTTGTTACATACACTAAAAAAGAATGAGAGACTCATTTCAGGTACTACACAAGATATCAATCAGCTTCTAACCCAACTGCCAGGAAGAAGARAAACTCCAGCTGTCCCATTCCTTGTTTACAACAGCAAGCTTTCCCTCCCTCCAAACTTCCAYGCCATTTTTTCTCCATTCTTCTCAGGCTCACTCTTCGCCTTAATCTTTCTAACTCCTCCCAGATGTCCTTCAATTAAGACTTTGTTCCACCCTGCTCTTTCCACTTTCTCCAAAACCAGTTTCCCCCCAGCTGCCTATCCTCTCCTCATGTCCCAGGGGCTCTGGGCCCCTCGGCTGTGGTTTACAGCAGAACCACACATTCATTGCCAAGAGGAATAAGCCCATGCCAAAAAGGATGGAAAAAGAGAGAGCTGTCCACAACCCCAGGATGTACAGGAGAGCAGGTATTACCTGCAGGAACCCTCCTTACCAGTCTGTGTCTGTCACAGCTTGGTGAACTCTGACTCTGCCTCTCAGTCCTCAGCTTTGCTGCCCCAGTTACAGCAGAGCTGGTGCCTGGAGACACAATTCCCTCCTCCCTCTCCTCCCCCAGCAGACAGGACACAGCCCCKTTCAGCCTTGTGCCAAGCTGTGGTCAGGGAGATTCAGTTGTGGAACCAATGAAGAACTGTATGGGCTCCTTTGACCTCTGAAAGTTATGGAAAATTGAGTCCCGAGATACCTGAGATATTCTAACTTTTGCATTAAAGTACTGCACAGTGCTCCCAGAGCAATAAAGGCTCTTTCAACTCCAATTTTCTTGCGAAGAACTAGGGAAAAAAAAAAAATCAGGATTCTAAATCTTGAATCCAAACACCTCCAACAGTTTTCCACCATCCAAAATCAAACCCTCTGAAGATCTGAAGCAGCAGGTGGGATACTCCCARTTCCTCTAAGCCTRTATGCATGTGCCTTCCACTCACAGKCATCACTACGTCCTGAAAGAGTCTTTCATCACATTCCTGCACAAATGGGAATTACAACCATCCAACATGAAATCTAGCACAGTCTCTTAACAGCTACCCTCAAGAGAGGCCTTGTACATGTTCTGCCAGYGCAGCAAGAGTTCCATTTTAAACCCTTTCCCATCATCTTTGCTATTTTTCCTCCAGTTTTTGGTAAGCTGTGAGAATGGCTGATATCCCTAAGTTAACAGCACAGTTTCCCTTTTACCTTGCCCTTACACCACCTGGAACATTGTTGTTGGCCATTGTTCCTCACACACATCCCAGCAGTGCAGGGTACACAGTCAGCACTGCTGCTGTTGGTAATTGCTTGGCTAATGTGTGCCCTAAGTCTCCAAATATTTCAGTGCTGATTTCCAATATGAGTATTTTCCTGCTAATTGGAGCTGACACTGGCATGAAGACAAGCTCAACTAAGCAGCAGTTAAGAGTAACTACTGTTCCTCTGTGCACATCAACTCAGATGCTCATTATATGCATGCCCTTCAAAGTYGAATAAATTATTTGTGCTACTTGAAAAACATTAAAACCAGTTATTTTGTATAAAGGAACATTATATATGAATTTTTAGGAGAGATAATTATGCATAGCAAGAAAATAATTCGCTAAAAAGCGTAAGACTATCTTCAAAACTGCAGCTATGGCATGCTTGAAAGCAGCCAGAAACTTAAAATCTCCAATATACTTTAAACTCGGTGGTTCTGTTAAACTTTATAGTGCCATTATCACTGGATTATGTCACACTGTAATTCTGCCAGTTAGTTTTCCCTGTGAACACTTTTTAAAAAAGTATACAAATTCAAATTAGTTATTATACACCCTAGTGTACCAGGAATATCAATACACTATGCTCATTAATAACATGAGGGATAAACTCATTAAGAGTTCAAGCAAAATACACTTGCTCTGACCACCCTCTTCTTGCAGGTATCTTGTGCTGGGAATTTAGACCCCGAGGTCCAAATTTGTGTTAATATGAAAATCTTACTGCCTGACTACACAAACCCTTGTATCTGCAGAGATCATTGAAATCAGCACCTCAAAKACACAGAGCTCCAACAGTCTGATAAGTCTAACTTATACTTCATAAAACCTCTTTCTGCAATAATTTCCAAATTAAGGATGCTATTWATTTTGTTGCCTTTAAGAAAACTGATCATTAAACCATTAACATTCAGTTTTGTAATACTCTCATAGGTGGCACTAATGATTAAGGCAGTCATGAGAAACATGAATATGTGTACTAGGAAAATAATTTCTGATTTCAATTTACCGCATGAAAAATTCTTTGTGGCAGAAGCTGGGAACTCGCTGAAGCCTCACGCTTTCATGTTAACACCATCACGATGGTTCAGGAGAGCAGCCAGACCAAAGCACGGTGTAACACCTCACCGAGCATCACCGAGAGCAGGCCCAGCCAAACGCTGCCACACCGCTGCTTTGGCTCAAAACCCAGCTCAATTCTTAAAGCAACTACTCCTCACACGCACATCTGCCCGAACAGGTTTGCCGTGTGGGCACCAAAACACCTGGAGGCAGCAGGACAAGGTGGGAACGTGTGGGAACAAGCCGGGAGGAGGCGGCCGTGCCCGGCGAGGCGTTCCAGGGCAGCCGCGTACCGCTCCTCAGGCGGGGCTCAGCCCGCCCCGATCACTGCCACTGCCACTGCTGCCACTGCCACTGCCACTGTCACCCCGCCCGGGGACGGGGACATCGCCGACACCCGCGGAGCGAGGGCTGGCACGGGAGCCGTGAGGTGCCCACAGCCCTGAGGCACCGGCAGCCCTGAGGCGCCCCACGCCTCCCGGGCCAAGCGAGCCTCTGCACGCCTCCACAGCGGCACGGACACCGCACGCACAATCGTTTTCCGCCCTCAATTCCTAAAAGCTCCAGGCGGCGCGTCCTAAAACAACATAAACCTCTAGGACGCTGATGAGGGTGCCCGGAGCGAGCGGCTGAGGTAGGGCCGGGGTGAAGGGCAGGACAGCGAGGGGGACGCTAAA